AGGAATCTCAGCCTGAGGAGTCATAACCTGCTGGTCAATAGTTTATTTAGGTAGGAGTGGTACTCATAAAAAAAAGTGTGACTCATTCAGCTCACACCCTTAACCAGATGGTTTTCCTTAGTCCAGACAGCACACGGTGAGGCGAGCATGCCCTTTGGCTCACAGAGGACATCAAAATAACATATAATAAAATCGGTTGTTATTACTTCACCGTGACATGCTTACATGCGAAAAGCATTATATTGTATTTTAAGCACGTGTCAGTTAACAACACCCTTAGGCACGGTTTACTTCCACGGCTTAGATTTGTGCTCATTTGTCAGCATTCCATACACTACTCTCCTGTATCATTATCAGACAGCAAATACTAAATGTAAATGACTTTTTAAGGCAGGATCCCATTTATCCCTAACTACCTAGCAGAGAATCACCTCTAACTGCTGAGCTTTCTGCCTCCCCATCTCAACTGCTGACATTAGAGACGGGCCTCAGCATTCCTCTGGGGACCAAGCCTAGGGCTCGTGCATGCGAGGCTACTTACTGTGCTATGTCCCCAGCCATGAATAACTACATAATTCTCAAAGTAGTTTTAATTTTGCAGATCCTCAGACAGGATCTTGGAGACCTTCAATGAGCAATAAACTACATTTTGAAGACCATGATTCCAGGATAAGCTAGATTTACCAGTGAGCTAGCAGCAACTTTCTTTTGAGTCATAGTAAAGTTGAAGATGTCAGAAAATAGTATTTTCTGAAGTGTAAATAGCCAGAGGCAATTTACAGGCTATGACATTGAATATAAAAGTTAATGAAGTTGGTTTCAGATAATGCTGACTATAAAAATCACAGCATTCATTTACACAATGATCAAGTAGAATGTTCTCATTGAAATAAAGTTCAGTCGTGTATTAAGATGAACAGAGAAAAAGGGAGAGATAGAAAGATCTGGAGGGGTTGGAAGCTCCACAAGGAAAGAAAAAAGAAATCTGGACACAGCGGTCCTTTCTGAGGCTGATACTCCAACCAAGGACCGTGCATGGAGATAACCTAGAACCCCTGCACAGATGTAGCCCATGGCAGTTTAGTGTCCAAGTGGGTTACATAGTAATGGGAAGAGGGACTGCCTCTGACATAATCTGATTGGCCTGCTCTTTGATTACCTCCCCCTGAGGGGGGAGCAGCCTTACCAGGCCACAGAAGAAGACAATGCAGCCAGTCCTGATGAGAACTGATAGGCTAGGGTCAGATGGAGGGGGAGGAGGACCTCCTCTATCAGTGGACTTGGGGAGGGGCATGGGACGAGATGAGGGAGAAAGGGTGGGATTGGGAGGGCACTAAGGAGGGGCTACAGCTTGGACACAAAGTGAATAAACTATAATTAATAAAACAATAAATAATTTTTTAAAAGATGAACAGAAAAGCAATCAAAAATAATTATCAGTTGCTAAGATCCCATACAGGATCATAAGTACTTGAAAAAGAAAAAGACCATAACTTCATAGTATTGTATACCCTGTGTTTGCTATATCAAATGTGTTTGCTATACTGTAAGTGCCCGTTAAACTGAAATTAAATTGAATAAATGGGTAAATATTCTTGAATTCATGACAATTGGCAGCAAACAGTAAAAATAAATTAACAACAACATAAACAAAAGAAATAGCAAAAAAAAAACAATAAAAGAAATAGCAAAGGAGGAAAAGCTAATGCACAGACTTCAGGAGCTTGTCCACATGGAAACCAAGATGACAAACTCACGGCATTCTTTGGTTTCCTGGTTGTGGGAAGGTGATTCTAGCACCAAGAGAACGGGTGTTAACTACAGCATCTGAGAATGATGATATTGGCGCATCTGTGGGTGTGTGGTGCCCTGTGGTCTCACAGACCTCCGAACCTGTGTGCCATATCTGTGGCTGAGATAGTACTATTGCCTTCTTTAGACTTCACATCACAAAGACTACACATCATATTACAAAACCTAGCATTGACTTTTTTTTTTGTATTTTATTTTTTTCTTATCAGTTACATTTTATTAACTCTGTACCCCAGCCGTGTCCCGATCCCTCATTCCCTCCCAGTCCCTCCCTCCCTCCTCTCCACCGTGCCCCTTGCCAAGTCCACTGATAGGGGGGACCTCCTCCCCATTCATCTGATCCTGTTTTATCAGGTATCTTCAGGACTGGCTGCAAAGCCCTCCTCTGTGGCCTAACAGGACTGCTCCTCCCTTGGGGGGTGGGGAGGCCAAAGAGCCAGTCATTGAGTTCCTGTTAGAAATAGTCCTTGTTCCCCTCACTATGGGAAACCAATTGGTTACTGAGCTACCACAGGCTACATCTGAGCAGAGGTTCTAGGTTACTTGCCTCTTTGAAAGACAGCGGGGCCAGGTGTGCACACCTGTAAATCCATCCCTTGGGAGGTAGCAGGAGCAACAGGAATTCAAAGGCAGCCGGGGATGCATAGCAAGTTAGAGAGCAACCTAGGCTATAGAAGGCTTATCACATAAATGAATGAATGAGGGTGGGGAAAGAGAAAAAGAAAGAGGGAAGAAAGAAGGAACAAAAGGAGGGAGGGACGGAAGGAAGGAACCATTTTTAAAATCTGGTTTACTGTTACTCAATACTTAGACTCCTCCAATCATTTCCATGAGAAAACTTTGAGGAAGAGCCAGGATAAAAAGAAAAGAACACAGAGACCATTTTAATAAAGACCATCTAAAGAAATAAATGATGGTTCTAGAATTTTCCAACAATGATCTTTATTGTTGTCCACTTTAATTTCAGATCCAGTTGAAAGAGGCATGGGAAGATTTTTCTGCCTTGCATTTGTCAAAAACAAGTAAATAAGTACTGAAGGAATCCTAAGCTTAAGTTTTTAAGTCAAGCTGCCTACAGAAATTCCATTGCCCAGCCTGAGACTGTGCAAAGTTAAGCATAGTACTCCACAGTCTCTTGCTTCTTCTACTGACAAGTACTGTTTATAACACAGCAAATAAACTCTCAAAAAATAATGCAGATGAATTCCTTTCCGGCCATCCTTCCAAAAATAGCTTATGCCTCATATTTTTTCAAACTATAGACTATAGGCGAATGGCCAAGATTAGAGACCACAGTTGTCCCTTTCTGAAACTGTAACCTAGGTGACTGAGCTTTTCCATGCTTCCGTTTTGTGAAAAATGACTCACGATGAGTGCTTTTGTGATTCCTTTCATTGTGAGAGGCCATTCCCAATTTCGCTTCCATGTGCTAAGCAATGTTCCCTCTGTCTTGCATTTGAATTGTCTATTAGTCCAATCTGATTCAAGCAACAAGTTCTTTGGACAGAGCTTTCTCACTTCAGTACTTGAAGACAGACACTGGACGAGACACACAAAGCACTCACTTTTCTCATATGAATTAAAAAGTAAGGAAAATCAGGGAATACACATTAATTTATTGAGGACTACTATGTACCAGCATAGGTTGACAAAGTCTTTCATAGATTTTTTTTTCTTTTATCAATTTTTTTTGTTTGCCTGCTTGCAACAGGGCTTACTAAATAAGGCAGAGTGCCTGCCCTAAACCCTGCTTCACACATTGTCTCATTTAACAGTCACAAAATTCCTTTTACAGGTATTACTGTTCTCACATTACAGGTAAGAAAACTGAGGCGAAGAGATTAAAAAAAAAAACCTCTTACCCTCTTACCTCCAAGCCAATTTAGAATCTAGTAAGGAAAAAATATTATGTATATCAAATAGCAAAAGCAATGCTGATAGTACATAATAACAATGATTCAAGTAAGCTCAAAGAAAAGAAAAATATTTCTTTAGGAAGATTTTACAGCTGACCCCACATCTTGGCTGGACTAACAAGGGTAAGATAAATGTGCTCCAAGAAGCTATAACTTTTACTCTGACACCCACAGTTCTTTCTCTAGTGTTAGGAAGGCTCTTCATTCCCCCATTTCAACCCTACATATTTACAGTAAATTTTACAAAATTTACTCATGAAAGCAGAGAAGCTGATTAGCAAAACAGCCTATACTATGTAATGTATCCTATTAAAGTTATTAGGAGTCAGGACACTTGAATGAAATGTTTTCCATGGATTAATTCATTTAACATGTCCAACATCTCATAATAATTTGGGTATTTCAGAAATGACAAAGCTTAAAAAAGAGTCACACAACCCTAAAACAGAACTCTGTGACTGCTAAGTGGCCAGGACAAGAAGGAGCAGGGCTCACATTCAGATGTCTCCCGAGCCAACTCATAATGACATTGTACAACTGTTTCAAGCTATAAGGCACTTTAATCAATTAAAAAAAAAAAAAGAAATCTTAGGTGAAGTATATTAAGCTCTCAAGTTACAAAGGGACTTGGAACATTCAATACCATTTGAAAGCTCAAACAAACAGGTAGCTATCACAGACAGTAATAAAAGAAAATTTTCACTTGATCCACCGCTGTTTTTGAAGCATTGTGCTTCCAGCATGCCTATCTCAAGAACGATTACAAAGTCATGAATCACTGCCATTCCCACTTTAATCCTCTTTCTTATTTGCTCTTCAATACGAGTCATTTCTTCTGCTCTTTCCTGGTGCTTTTTTTTTTTTTTTCCTTCAGCTGCTTACTTCTCCCTATAAACAGACCCTGAAGATTTAGCCCTCCACCGCTATAGGATGATGGTGGTGGTGGGGATGATGACAAAGGCGCTGGCAGTGATAAATACCCGCAACTGTGAGGATGACTGCACAAGCAGCCCGAAAGGATAGCTCACTTCAGGAAATACTTGTGGCCTTAGCTGTCTTAGAAAGTATGATGAATGTATTTAATATAATCCCTATTGACATTTACCCTCTAAGTCTGTAGAATGAATGCAATACGGAAGGTCACCAAGAAATATGAGTATTTCACTCTACAACTATATGCAAATATTCTGGCCTTGATTCAAATCGCTGAGTGGAGCAGACACATAAATACCCTTCTTGTGTTGCCATTATCTCACTGTCACATGCGCAAACATGGTGCCGGCTCTGAAGTTCCTTCTGCTCCTCACCCTGCATCTCTTGTGGGATGTGAAAAGCTCCAGGGTCCATCTGAACAACAATGGGTACGAGGGTGTGGTCATTGCAATTAACCCCAGTGTGCCAGAAGATGAAAGACTCATCCAAAGCATAAAGGTAAAGAAAGATTTCCATTATCTGCATATTTCATGTCCATAATTGTTTTACCTAGGTATCTAAACTGTACATACACACACACACACACACACACACACACACACACACACACACAGTTACACTTTCCCAGAGCTGCTTTGACTGTATTCATCATATATATATGGATTATCTATAGTCAAAATGAGTATCTGCTTATCATATTTTTATTGTACATTAAAACGTATAATAAATGTATAGTGTTCAAACTCTTAAATTATTAACTAGCTAAGGTAATAGACTGTGGAGCAAATGGAGAAATGTTCTCATATTTTGTCCTAATGATGCTGCTTTTACAAAGCCTAAAAAACAAATGGGCACTGGAGCTCAGGCAGCTTGTTGTCTTACACACTCCTGGACAACCTGAGAACCTTACCTATCTTATCCTAAAGAAACACTGCACATTTTTGAAGTTGATTTGTTTCTAATTGTGCTTGTAGCAGTATAATAAGAGTTTAGCACATAGCACTCTAGTATGTACTCTAGCCTTAGGTCCCTCAGCATCACTAAAATGCAACTAAAAGCAAGGACTTTCTTCTGCAAATGTGAAATGAAGTGATTTTAGTCATAAAATAAAAGGCAAAACTGAAATGTAACTGGAGGCTTAAAAAATATGAGCTTCAGAAAGTGAGACTATTTTGTCACTCCTGCAAAACATTCTATGCACAATATGTTAGCTCCCAGGGCACTAGGGGAACCAAAACATAAAGAGTAAATCTCCATAGCTTAACTTCCCTCCATTGTCTTGAGTACTAACCCAGGCCACCTTTGCCCACTTGCAGAGGTGTCTTTTCCTCTTTATTCTCAGTATATGCACTTGCTCCTCAGCCACAAGCAGCCTTGCTCACCAGGACCCTCTGTCCTGATCACAGGCTGAAGTGTGTCTTGGGCATTTGTGGACACTTTCTAGTGCGGAGACGCATGACTCACCTTCAGTTGCTCTCTGCGGGGGCTGGTAAGGTGGAGTCAGTGCTGCTCCTCATAATGGTGTTTAGCATCTGAACCTGGGGCAGCGCCGCCTGCTCACATCATGACAGACATCCCAGCTTGTTCGTCAAAGCTGCACAAAAGACGGCGTGCAGCCATTTTGATAGACAGCATTCACTTATTCTTTTCTCCAAAGGCTTTTAATATTACCCAGGCCAAGAGAAGCAGCAACCTGAGGCAAACAACCAACTTCCTATTTATCATTCATTGGTACTCCAAGCTGCAACAAGAATTCGTAATTTCTGCATGTGGAGCTTGAGAATGCCCAGTGCCATGCAGATCTGCTGTCCTGGTCAGCTGTAGGAGCCAGGGATATTGGCCATGATGCTTTTTATTCAACTCCTCCCTTCCACTGTAGGCGAGGCTACCGACTGATAAGTTAGACTCGGCACCCTCCATCTCATTTTCCCAGTATCTCCCACAGACTTCCAGTCCTAATCATTGTTATAACTGACCCAGCGCTTTCATTCCTGTCTCCAACCTAAACTCCTGAATACATGAGTCTACAGGTAAAAACACGCGTGAAAAGAAACTTACAGATTTAAGAAACTTTGGTAAACTTATTCTATCTGAAGGAAAGGAGCTTTGATTTGCTTGTAGTTTGTGTTCGTGTTTTAATGTTAATTTTGTTGCGTGACATTGTTACATCAATGCACTTTTAATTCTCTCAGGAAATGGTAACTCAAGCCTCTACTTACCTGTTTGAAGCCACCAAAAGAAGATTTTATTTCAGGAACGTAAGCATTTTAGTTCCCATGACCTGGAAGTCAAAATCCAAGTACTTAACACCAAAACAAGAATCATATGACCAAGTAGGTGCCACCTGCATCTCCTAACCTTCTCCCTGTGCCTTTTACAGAGGGATATTTGAACATGATTTACTTGTAAATCATTTGCTTTTGGTAAATGATAATCCTGTTGGGAATGAAACTAGTAATATCACTTTCAAAAATGTAAATGAGACAGTTCTTGTAGAATCTCTTGTTTCTAACGCTCCTGGAATCTGACTGGGTTTGTTCTTCTGCATTTTAGGCAGATGTCATAGTTGCTGAGCCTCATCTGAGATACGGAGATGATCCCTACACACTTCAATATGGACAATGTGGAGACAGAGGACAGTACATCCATTTTACACCAAACTTCCTACTAACCGATAATTTGTCTATCTATGGACCCCGCGGTAAAAATACCTATTATACAGCTCTTATTTTCAGTGGGGAGGAGCAAACCACTACCATCAATGTGGTTTTATAAAACTCAGAAAAGTAAGCGTTAAGTAATACTTTCATTTAGACATTTGCACACTGTAATTTGTACACCTGTTATTGTACAAATCTAATAATTAAATGAGCCACATGTTGGTTTCATTCCATTTCACCTTTTTTGAGCTAACGAAAAATGTTGATTTCTAGAGTTATCTAGCTCAGGCTAGCAGATGAGCAAGTTTAAAGTAGAAGGGAACCGTATTAAATTATTTCAACTCCAGCTTTATAGATGGCAGTCTTTCTCTCGCAGGCAGGGTTTTTGTCCACGAGTGGGCCCATCTCCGGTGGGGAGTATTTGATGAGTATAACACAGACCGGCCCTTCTACATGTCCACAAAGAACATGATTGAAGCAACAAGGTATGCCCATGTGAACTAATCTGATTCTACAATTCCTTACTTGTTTTTCAGCTCTCTCTATTGGGAAGTGCAAAGACAACCTAGAGGCTAGATCTACTCAAAGCCTATGTATCAACTGATAGGATGTTTCCTTTGACTTTTAAATTAAAAGTAGAAAACACTTAGAATATTGGAAACGTATTAAGAACACTAGGAGTCTGTGTCTTGAAAAAATAATTCTACAAAAGAATGTCAGTTAGGTGAAGGAGGGGCTAGAGAAATGTCTGCTCCCATCCTCTGTGATGTGTGATCTGCAGAGCTGCCTGGAGCCTGGCACACGGGCTGGCACATGGGCAGAGCTATCTGGAGCCTGGCACACAGCCTGAGCTGCCTGGAGCCTGGCACACGGGCTGGCACACGGGCAGAGCTATCTGGAGCCTGGCACACAGCCTGAGCTGCCTGGAGCCTGGCACACGGGCTGGCACACGGGCAGAGCTATCTGGAGCCTGGCATACAGCCTGAGCTGCCTGGAGCCTGGCACACAGCCTGAGCTGCCTGGAGCCTGGCACACAGGCTCAGCAGCTCCCAGCACTGGCCTCCTCCTCCAATGTTCCACCGCACAACCTTCCCTTGCCCAGACAACGTGTATTCAACCTTTAGCTGTTTCTCCTCTCGATCTTTCCACTCCTCCCATTTGAGGTTAGATGCCCTGACAGGAGTCCCAGAGAGCCTGTGTGTGCCTCTCTCGAACTTCTACTAACCAGCGTTAACTATCCGGGTGTCTTGTTTTCTTCCAATAGCGTTTAAGATCCTTAAAGACTGTGGGTTGTTTGGTTGGTTGGTTGGTTGGTTGTTTTTTCAGTTTTTGTTTTTGTTTTTAGTGTTTTGTTTTAATAATTCTCTAACATAAAAAATCAAACAAAAATATCAAATGATAAATATTTAAAGCATTAAAAAAATGAATGAGTTTTGTTATGATCTTCATAAAAAGATATATAGTGGTGAAGACAAATCTCTAAAACCCCATTCATTGAGTTTCTATACTGTGCTCAGAAACTTTGGGTTTCATCACATGTAAGTTTTGGGGCCAACCCTAGAGCTACTTCTCTTAAAAGATGTTACAATCTCCATTGTCCTTGCAATACAAATAAATTTATGAAATGAACTAATGTCATGAAGTATTAATAGGAAGGATATATTATATATATATGCTTTTAGAACCCCTTTTCAAAGGATTCTATCCTACTCCCAGTTCTCTGACCAGGATTTGGCAATTATTTTTGTCATGAAGCTCAATGGTTTGATGCATGTGTTTTTCTGATTCTTCCTTTAATCTAGCTCACTGGTCATAAAAATGTAAGCTGCAAATTACTATACATTTAAAACCATGTAATTTATAATTTATACATGGAAATTAAAGAGGATTTTAAACATATTTTGATCCTCTTCTCCTCACTAAAAATCCAATTCATCTGTAACTCAGCTAATTTAATCTTATAACATCCATGTAAGTTTGAAATTACTATCTTTAGCCCATAACCACAGAGAAAATAGATATATTGATTAGATAAGGAAGCTAATGGATGTTTAAAAGTGTACATTAAAAATACAGCTTTTTACTAAAGCCAAGCTTATGTAAAAGTAAACATTATGTCTACCCTTGTCAAAATGAAATGTTTGGTGCATGAGCAAAGGAGTTGTCACTGAGAAAAAGATTTCAGGACATTGGTCTTTATTCCTAACTTGCCTAGGTTCAATGTAAAAGCATGAGAGAGAGAGAGTGGGGAGTTTGAGAACTGAGAGTGTAGTGGGGAGGGGTGCTTGCCTGGCATAGGCTGGCCCACAAAACCAACCCGGTTCTTTTACCGCAGATGCTCCACTGGCATCACTGGCGTAAATGTGGTCCACAAATGTCAAGGAGGCAGCTGTATAACAAGGAAATGTCAGCGAGATTCAAAGACAGGACTGCATGAACCCAAATGTACATTCATCCCAAACAAATCCCAGACTGCCAGGAACTCCATAATGTTCATGCAAAGTCTTGATTCTGTAAGTACTTGCCGTTTCTCTCACAAAGGAATCCTTGCAGAGAGTTACGCAGTGAAGCTTTGTTTCAACTGTGATACCATATGCATTCACAAAGGGGAAGAAAATGACTCATTCCGCTAATTGAGCCTACTTTCTCCAGACAGTGCAGAATGGGTGTGGATACTATCCTATCCCTTCTTATTAACCGTTCATTATCTTCAGATGTAGCTGGGCCCTTCTTAGCAGTCGTGTAACTTCTTAGACGACTTCCCTCACTGATGCCTGTTGGACTTGAGTGAAGGGTAACAACTTCACAATCATTCTCCCAGGCTGTCGGTCATACCACCCCCTAAGGTAACCTACAGTAGAGCTTCCAGGTGCTTTCTATGTTTTCCTCTATCTTCTCACTAAAGCTTATCAAGCCATTATCAAATGCTACTATTTGGAAAATATAGATGGCCCTGTCAGATATAAGAACAGAAATTCACAAAGACAGGGGTTTGAATACATAGTTTGATGGGTATCAACAGATGTGTTGGAATCATGGACTTGACATAGAAACCTTAACCTGTCGTTTTCAAGATGTCATTGAGAGAGCACTAAATCTGATATTCAGTTCCCTCATTTTAAAAATGGGAATTAAATTGCATGTTTCCAATTGTTATCATTATGTTAATAAAGTGTAATATAAACAAGTATAAGCTCAGTGCTTAATGCAAGGTGGGTACAAAGCAAGCCTTAAGCTTCTCATTTTAAAATGTATACTATATTTTGCAAATATCTAGTTGTCTCTCTAGGCAAGTCCAGTATTTTTAAATTTTTACTTGACACATAACAAATTTATGGGATACAGCGTGGCGTGTCGATAGACAGACATAATGTCTGATGATAATTTCACTGCTTCAAAGATTTAAGCTCTTTTTTGAGATAAGAACATTCAAAATTCTCTCATCATGCTAGGTTGAAATACAAATTATTGTTAACTAAAGTCACCCTATTGTGCTATCAAAGACTAGAATTTACTCCAGTAATCTAACTCTAACGTTACACTATGGACCAAGCTTTCTGTGTGTCTTCCTCACTTGGATTTCCACTTGTAGATAACCAACATTCTACTCTAGTTCTATTATATCCACATTTTTTAGCTTCAGTGTATGAGTGACATCACACAGCATCTGTGTTCTTGTTTTACTTAGCGCAATGTTCTGTAGACTCATTTCTACTGAAGTAGATAATAGTGCTCTATTCTTGTCTACGAGTGAACAGATCATGAGTGTGTGTGTGTGTGTGTGTGTGTGTGTACATGTGTAGCACATTTTATCAATCCATTCATGCACGGATGAACACTTAGGTTGAGTCTACATTTTGAACACCGTGACTAACAGGACTAACACGGATATGCAGTTCTTGGGTAATCAGTGAAACATACTGATTTTCTTTTTTCCTCTTTTTTTCTTTCTATATCTAGTAGTGAGGTTGCTTGGTCATATGGTGTTTCCGTTTTTAGTGTGCTTACAAAGTCCCATTTTATTTTCCCTAATAAATATGTGCTGGCTCACATTCTCATCAAGCATGGGCATTCATTCCCCTTCTCTAGCACCCTCTCTTGCAATTTCTTTTTTTTTTTTTTTTTTTTTTTTTTTGCTTTTTTATTACTCCCATCTGACTGGAGTGAGATTATCTCTCACTTTCCTCATGGTTAGTGATGACAAGCAAATTCTCGTGACACCAGTCGCTTGCATGTATTTTCTTGAGAAATGTCTGTTTAAGTCATCTGGCCATCTTTAATCATGTTATTTCTGGGGCATTTTTGCTATTGAATTCATTGAGTCCCTTATAAATTCATATTTTCTTGTCGGGGAGCATCTGCTGGTGTCTTCTGCCATTGCAAAGGCTGCCCACTTACTGCTGGCCATTTCCCTTGCTGCACTATACAGTCTTAACTCATATAAACGTATTACATTTACCTAATGAAATTTTATGCAAATGTAAGAATATCTTAAATAAGAAAGTATTTTAAAAACAAATCAAATTTACATCGCTAAATAATAAAAACCAACTTAATTAAAATGAACAATTTCTCACATGCTAATTCACTAGCAACAAACACTACCACAAGCATAAGTTTCTGACAGAATTAAAAATTGTTGTGGCACTGAGACAATGGTGAAAGCTCAAGAAAAATAATATAGTCAAAGTTGTCTTCTGAAATTGGAAATTAGCGCAGGTTTTAAGTGGCCCTCCCTTCTGGAAATATCTGGCATGATTAAGGATAGTTCACTTTAGTGGGCTGAGATCGGCAAATAGTTCAGCATCCAACCAGACAGAAAATCACCTGATACAAGAGGATAATTGGAACACACAATGCCTGTTCCAAATCCTATACCACAAGGCATTTGACTCTCAGGACATAGCTCCTGCTGCCCATGTGGAATATGAATAGTAAGCACGGCCCCTACACGCCTGAAACACCCAGGGAAGCTAATTACACAAGACATTGTTCAGTCACAAATACTGTATTTCAACCATGTATCTTATCCAACATAGGACTAATTCTAATTATCATGCTATAGGTTAAATATACTCCATACCAAAAGCTAAGCTCAAACTCAGGACATATGTGACATGAAATAGTGGATGCTCTCTTCCATTCGTTCACTACTTTAAACATCATTCACTCCATTTCAAGCTCAGATCTGTGTTAGAAGCTGACACCAAGTAAATAATTTAAAAATCATTTTTTAAAAATTAATTTTATTGATATATTTATTTATTAAAATTTATTCACTTTGTGTCCCCACTGCAGCTCCTCCCTCATCTCCTCCCAGTCCCATCTACCCTTCCTCTTCTCCCTCTATTTCCTTTTCCTAGTTCACTGATAGGGGAGGATCTCCTCCCTTTCTATCTGACCCTATTTTATCACATCCCATCAAGGCTAGCTGTATTATCTTCCTCTGTGGCCTGGCAAGACTGCATTCCCCCAAGGGGAGGTGATCAAAGAACCAGCCACTGAGTTTATGTCAGAGACAGCTCCTGTACCCCTTACTAGGGAATCCCCCCATTTGGAAACTGAGTAGCCCATGGGCTTCCTTTGAACATGGTCCTTGGTTGGAGTATCAGTCTCTGCAGGACCCCTTGGGCCCAGGTATTTTGGTTCTGTTGTTCTCCTTGTGGAGTTCCTGTTCCCTCCAGGTCCTTCCGCCTCCCTCTTCTTCCAAAAAATCATTTTTACTAATGACATATTTTAGGGAGAACAGTAGAAGCAATGAGAAAAAATTTAAACAAGGTAGTAAGAAACACAGATATATGAATCAATGTTATACTAAAGTCAGACTATGGCTTCTGAATGGATGAGTTTTTGGCTGGGATTTAAAAATGAGTATGAATTTGGCAAAGTGGTAAGAGAGAGAGAGAATTCTATGCAATGAAATAGACTGACAAAAAGCAGAACAAGGCAGAATTGCTACATGCAATGGCACAAGTTGAGAACTATCTAAATATTTCCATCACAGTCTTAAGGATTCTCTCACTCATTAGAATAATTTTAGGAAGACAGGAGCTTGTAATAAAATGTCATTTTCCTAATTCATACAAAATTAGCATTAGGGTGAGTAGGAATCCACGTGATGGTTTATGGCATATTCTAGAAACTAAAAGAAATTCCATAGTAGAATTACAAAATGCATTCTGAACAGGAGAGGGGAAATGGGACTGAGCCTACAAACAGAAAACTACAAAGCTGGGATGTTTGGCTTTCCTCTTCTCAGCTTCAGACTAGCGCTGAGATGGGTGCTTGCTTCTCCTGGGAATGGAAGGACACTATTGTGAAGGCAAAGATGGGATGGGATGAGACTGAGTGAGGCAGGGAGATCAGCTGGAACACAGCAATAGGCAGGTGACAGCCTTGATTCAGAGACTGTGGTAGGGGGAAGGGAGGGTGTGTCAGGCATCACCTCACACTGGGAAGCCATGTGAAGCATGGCTTTGTTGGCATCCATATTTTCCTCCCATCCAACAGAACTCCATGTGGGAGATTTGAGCCTGGGCCATGTCAGAAGGGAGCCCGCTCTTACAATGCAAATGTGAGAGATTTAGATGTGAGGTAGTTCTGAGTTTAGATCTGAGATGTGGTGGGGGAGGGGACACTAAAATAACAAAATTACACTGTTACAAACCGTTTCTCTGAGCTTACTGTAGAATGATTCCTTCCTGGACACTGCCCTGGTTTATAAGGACACTTCCTTCTTTCTCCTGGTTTTCAAAACCTGGAGGATTTTCAGAGTTTATAGTAATAAAACCTCCACTGGCAGAATTATCAGATACAATTCAAACTCAGAGAAATAACTACATCTCTTACATTATCTTTTATTATCTTTCAAGGGTATCGTTTATATGTATCAAAATTTGTAGGCACTAATAACAAGCCCGATTCCTAGAGCATCTGTCCTTAAATCTCTGGGCCCACTGTGAAGATGAGCATAGACATTAAAAGACAGCCAGTCTCTCCTAGTCTACTTTTAGGAACAGAAATTACCAGAAAACACAGCACTCCTCTCTCAAATTTAATTCAGGATGGGAGATCCTCAAAAGTTTAGATGAGGAAGTGAGAAGCTAACTTAATCACATGAGCAGCGACCATTCGTCACTGACGATCTAATTTTAAAACCTCCAAAAAGCCTTGGCTATAAGTGTTAATGGCATTACTCACTTTCACTCCAAGCATGGAGCATGGATGTCCAAATATTTGATCATAAAGTGATTCTTGTAGGACACAAATCTTGTTCAGGATGCATGTGGAAGCTAACTTCCTACCTGGAAAAAAAAAAAAAAAAAGGTGACTGCTTACAAGTTATTACAGTATTTTGTATTAACTTATTTTTTTTTCAGGTGGTTGAATTTTGCACAAAAGAAACTCACAATACAGAAGCCCCAAACCTACAAAACAAAATGTGCAATCGCAGAAGCACGTGGGACATAGTCAAGAAGTCTGCTGACTTTCAGAATGCCTCCCCCATGATTGGGACAGAAGCGCCGCCTGCACCTACATTTTCATTGCTGAGGCCCAAACAGCGAGTGGTCTGCCTGGTGCTGGATAAATCTGGAAGCATGAGCGCGGTGAGACACCTCTTGCTGGGTTTCTTAAAAAGTATTTAAGTTAAATATAGAATTATAATTTAATTTTATTTTAGTTCTAACAAACCAACACACATATGTTTATGCCAAGGAAACAGTGAAATAAAAAATAATGGTTAAAGATTATAGATAACTTTTATCCCATAACTTTTAGTTCTAACTAGGGCAATTTTAACTGCACACAGAGAGAAAGAGAAAAAAGGACACATAAGACAAGAAGATGACTTGTGACCATTAGTTTTAGGCTAGCCTCGGCAACCTAACAAGAGCTCATCTCAAAGAAGAGTAAAGACAAAAATAAATGATGAATAAAAAAAGAAAAAGAAAAAAACAATAAATGAAAATTACCCAAGATTCCACCATTGAACATATCACTTTATCCTTTTCTTATTCTTAATGTTTACTTTTTCTTCAAACATTTTATATTTTGTATGTTTTATAACCTGATATTTTACGTGTGCCTTAAAAACTCCCCATCTAAAAAAAAGCATTCTGTGAAACATTTTAACAATTGTGTCATATTTGCTGAAGCAGCAAGCCCAGGGCCTACATGGGTCTTCACCAGGTCCCCTGTGTGGTTCTCCTCTTTCCTGGGGACAGGAGGGAACCTGTTTCCCACCAGCCCACAAAGACAGTAGGGGCAGAAGACCAGAGTTTGGAAGGCCTGGGAGCATGAGGGAGATCAGACACTGGGAACCACTTCAGAGTGTTAGTTCAACTTTAATTCCAGAGTACAAAGGCTATATACCTTTGGGGGGGAAGGTTCCAAGGATAGATGTACGTAATTGGTTAAAACTAGGCTCTTCACAGATACTTGATTTGCATTAATCAGCATGCTCCTATCAAATGAACGGAAACACAGTACCTAACTATCCTATAGGGGCACAGAGGGGAGACCTAGCAGGGAGCTGTGTCAAAGGCCATGTATCAGACGTGGTTAGGGACATCTATGTCTAGAGACACTCTCCAGATAAAGTCAGGCAGAGAATTGGAAGCCCTGCTGGGGAGAAGGAGTCCTGCACCTTAATGCTGCTGAGCTCAGAATGGCTATCTGGACTGGAAGGACTGCAACCTCAAACAGCAGGGGCCTTCCAACACACTGCATATGTATTAGAGCTATGAGCATAGTGTCTTTATGGGGCTCTTGGCTATGAGAATGAATGGGTCTCTGACTCTTGTGCCTGCTCTTGGGACTCTTTTTCTCCTGTTGAGTTGCCATGTCCAACTTTGATATGATAACTTTTGCTTTGTCTTATTATCATTTTGAAGCCTGTTCTTTTCTAATGAGAGACAGAAAGGAAGTAGATCTTGAGGGGAGAAGAGAGGAGGAAAAGGGAAGGGAGGTGGGAAGGAACTGGAAGGGGAAACTATAATCAGTATATACTGTTTAAGAAAAGACTCTATTTTCAAGTAAAGAGAAATGGAAAAATAATTATATTATATTTAATAATTATGTCATGTGTACATACAATAATTTAGTCAGTTCCCTATAGATGGACATCTTTGACACTTTTCTACTTGGTATTTATTTAAAAATACATTTTAAAATACTTTCATTCAGAGAAATTATTGAATAGATTGTTAGATAAAAAGATAAGAGTTTTACAAATATAATAGCTAGCAGTTTTAAGGTTTGTTTATTTTTATTTTATTTCATTTTATGAATTGCCTAAAGTATGTGTTTGCACCACTGTGTCTCTCGTGCCTGCCAAGGCCACAAGAGAACATCAGATCCTCTGGAAGTGGAGGTACAGACAGCTGAGAGCCAAACCTGGGTTCTGGGAACTGAACCCAAATCAAGGACAGAAAGAATGCTTAACTGTTGAGCTAATTCTCAAACATCTAAACTGATTTTTTTTAGATATTATTTTTTCAATGAAATGAAGAAGCTAAAATATACCAGTGAGTTATTATCAATACCTATGGCCCTTGCGATTTTTGTCTTTCACTAATCTGACAAGGTTTAAAAAGACTCCAGAGTTGTTCACATGTTTATCTATATCTATATCTATATCTATATCTATATCTATATCTGTATCTATATCTATATGTTTATATCTATATCTGTATGCATTTTTAAACAGGGAGACCCTATCACCCGTCTCACCAAAATGAATCAAGCAGCAGAGCTGTACTTACTTCAAATTATTGAAAAGGAATCCTTGGTTGGCATGGTCACATTTGACAGCACTGCTAAAATCCAAAATAACCTAACAAGAATGACCGGTGACGGCTCCTACCTAGAGATCATAGCAACGCTGCCTCAACAAGCTGGTGGTGGAACTTCAATTTGCAATGGACTCAGGGAAGGATTCCAGGTTAAAAAAGAAAATTAATTACTAACACTTGCCATTGACAACTTCTTTAACTTTCAGCAAAGGTCGTGAGTTCATGGGTTCCTCATTTAATAATATTCTGATCTGAGAAGACAAATCTCCTGTGAAGAGTAAAAGGTAGCCCGTCCTTCTCTCTGTGGCCAGCTGCAGCTTCGTGTAACATCGAAGGGTTGAGTGGCCCTGGGGATGGATATGAAAGGGAAAATAGTCAAGGGAGGTCATATTGGGGAGTCCCACTGTCTGGATTTCTGAGTAGAAAAAAAAACACCATTAAGGAAAGTGTGGAGAGAGAAAAAAAAAAAAAAAGGACGTTAGTATCATCTTATATTGTGGGTAAGGAAATCCCTCGCTCATCAAATCTGTCATTTAAAATCACTCAGCCCGAAATGCTCCTCAGGCAGCAAAGGACCAAGCACAATGAACACAAGTGGGGGTTTAATGGTGTCTCGATTGTAAACTAAAAAGTCAGAAATACTCGTTGAGTGCTGTAGCCAACTGTGTATAAATAAATCTTGATATTCACATATCCAAACTTCAGCCAGCCTCCCCCTGAGGCTCTTTATCAATATTATTAATATTTATCAATATTAAGTAACACAGAAAGCCACTTCCTTCACCAATCTTGCCTCCAAGTGGCCATGCTGCCCTGAACACGTTAGCTTTAGAAGCATGTGATCACGGCTGGGTTATGTTCTAAATGTTTTGGGGTAGCTCAACCCGGAAAGTCAGTTTTCTCAACCCAGGCCTAGCTCTATCGGCACAGCTTATCCGGCAGCCTTCCCAGGGGAGTCCATCTGAGCCTGCCCACACGGCCAGGCTGAGCTCTGGGTGATCAGCCTTCCAGATTGTCTGGGTCACTTCTCTTTACTCACTGTGTGTCAGGACTTAGGCTTCGCTTGTGAGTGGTGGGAGTGGTTAATAATGTGGCTTTTCCCCTTCAGGCAATTACCTCCAGTAACCAGACTACTTCCGGTTCTGAGATCATATTGCTAACCGATGGGGAAGATGATAAAATACGTTCCTGCTTTGAGCAGGTCAGAAACAGCGGCGCCATCATCCACACCATCGCGCTGGGGCCTTCTGCTGCCCAAGAGCTGGAGACTCTGTCAAGCATGACAGGTACCACTTCAGAATAAAGTTTGGATAGAAACATTCTGCAGTCTTTTCTGCTGTTCGTGCTCTTTCTCCATAGGCTGAAACTGCTCAGAAACTCCCTGTCTGAAAGTTAATCTCCGTTTCTTGGTACTCAGGCTCGTTTCTCCTCCCCGCCACGCTTCCGCATGGCAGCTTCTCGCGCCATTCACCAGGTGCTGTCACCGTCCGTGACAGCTCGGGCTACCACTAATCAGAACCTTATTTCTCTGGCTTCTCAGCTGCATCCAAAATCGTTTCCCCGTTTGAGAATGCCACTCGATTTCACAGAAAACGTTTAGACACCCCAATTTTACGGAAGAGCAAATGGAAACCTGGAGGCTATAAACAATCTGCCTAAGAGTCCTGACTACCACTCAGCACTCATTCCACTGTGGAGCGTGCCTATCAAGTCCCAACACACTCTAAGCCTGACCACGCCAGCCCCGTGTGGGGCTGCAGTGGCCTTCCAGTTGGGTTTTCTGCCGTGTATTAGTTACAAAAGTGTGTAATGAATATCATATTCCATGCAATCATTTCTCCTCCTCTTTCTCATTTTTCAGTTTTCATCCTTTCTCAGCTTCTTCCATGCAAGTAATCTCCCTCTTCCTTTAATGTCTCCATTATCTATTTTCTACAGTTCATCAATTTTTACTTTATTCTAAACAGTCAGTAGCTAATTATCATTAATGCAGTTTTGGTCCAAGTAGAAAATAAGCCATTTACTTATAAGAAATGGCTTCAGTTTCAGTTTCTGTAGTATTATATTGTATCTGGGCTTTGCTAAGATAACTTACACTCCCTTTTGGTGACTGATTAATCTAAAAACAATTAAAGTTCTTTAGATTCCCCCTTTGCTCTTATCACACTTACTTTGAGCAAGTTTCAGTAATTATTGAAATCGACTTGGGACACTACAACCCTGAGGATCTTGAAGAATAATCTTTTGTGGGGTGTAAAGAAAATCCTAAGTAGACTGTTAAACAGATCAATGACAGCACAGAGTAAGTAAGACTTTCCGATTTCAAACTCCCCTTTAGGAGGGTTTCGCTTCTATGCTGCTGAAGAAGACATAAACGGCCTTGTCGACGCTTTCAGCGGGATCTCATCTAGAAGCGGCAACATCGCTCAGCAGGCTCTGCAGGTCAGCAAAACCCTTCACCTTCTCGCTGCTGGAACTAACTCCCGTCATGCTAATTATTAACTGTTCCTCCCTGTCTTAGGTAGGGTTTTATTGCTGTGAAGAGACACCATGACCACGGCAACTCTTATAAAGGAAGCATTTCGTTGAGGGCTGGCTTACAGATTCAGAGGTTTAGAGTCCATTATTATCATGGCGGGAAACACGGTGGCACGCAGGCAGACATAGCGCTGGAGAGGTATCTGAGAGTTCCACATCTTGATCTGTGGGCAGCAGCAGGAGACCTCAAAGCCCACCCTCTCTTGACAGTCTTCTTCCAACAAGGGTACATCTCCTAAGCGTGCCACGCCCTATCCTATGGCCAAGCACTCAAACAAATGAGTCCATGGAAGCCATTCCTACCCAAACCGCCACATCAACAAATAGCTCTTCCCTAAAAATGGCTCTTCCACACTGAAGTTAGTCTCCCGTGCCTTACACATGCCTCCTCTCCTGCAGTTCTTTACCCCTTACAATACTATTTTTAATCTTTATAATTTTTGTAAGTTTAATTTTAAGAATTTAATTTACTCCTTGCAGATTATTTTTACTGAAAAAGTCTTTAATGCTCAATTGTTTTAATTTAATTTTTTTAAAAACTCAAAATCACACTGAACTAACTAAACTTTAAAATTTCATAGTCATAACATACAGGTTTTTGCATTTTTTTTTTTAATTTCTGTAACAGTTGGAGAGCAAAGCCTTGAATATTACAGGGAAGAAATGGATCAATGGTACAGTGCAAGTGGACAGTACCATTGGCAACGACACTTTCTTTGTTGTCACCTGGACAGTACAAAAGCCAGAAATTATTCTTCAAGATCCAAATGGGAAAAAATACACAACCTCAGATTTCAAAAACGATATACTAAATATTCACTCTGCTCGACTTCAAATACCAGGCATCGCAGAGGTGAGCCTAATCTTTTGTTTTCATCAATTATTAATTTATGTTTAAAAAATAAAGGCATCTTCTACATTTTCAATACTAAAGCAGTGACAGATAATTCATCTTAGAAACAGGCTTAATAGAATGCATAAGGAATCATACCCACATTATTGGTTTGTAAAGTCATATAAGTCATTACTTAGGCTGGGGCAGTCTCTCACTGGAACACCAGTTTAACTTGTGTGAGGTCCTGGCTCCATCGCAAACATCAGAAAAGTGATTCTTCCTCTTCTTACATTTCTAAGTAATTGTATCTCTTAAGCACAGAGTAAAAAAACACCATCAATGCTCTTAAAGACATTTTTTTTCCAGACAGGTACTTGGACTTACAGCCTCTTCAATAAGGATGCCAATTCTCAGTTGCTAACGGTGACAGTGACCACTCGAGCAAGAAGTCCTACCACGCTCCCAGTAATCGTGACGGCTCACATGAGTCAAAACACAGCGCAGTACCCTAGCCTGATGATTGTATATGCACGAGTCAGCCAAGGGTTTTTGCCTGTTCTGGGGGCCAACGTCACAGCCGTTATAGAAGCTGAAGGTGGACATCAAGTCAGTCTGGAGCTCTGGGACAACGGGGCAGGTAATGGCACGTGCACTGACACCATGGCATTTGACATTTCCCTCACTGCTTCCTCTGCGCACTCTAGAACTCTATTTCAGACTGCAGGAAAGCCTCGGCACAGCTGCAAATACCCTTGTCATCTCCACAATCCATGAGCAGCTTCACTCTAACCACGGAAGGAACCTGAGTACAGTTTCTCTCCAGCTCCATTGTCCGTGGTTTTTTGTTGTTTTGGTTTTTTTTTTTCCATCTGTGCTCATGAGTTTAATGAGTTTGGGCAAGAACATAGCTGCAGTCATTGGAGGCTGTTGAAGACAGGTTCTGAGGCCTGTTATTCAAGTTATGAAGTGAACATACCATGTTGGGTATTACTGATCTGTTGTTCAAACCAGCGGTGTGTTTATAATACACTTAAACTTATTGCATCAATAGATAATTTATTTTCTGAGCACTACTGTTTTAGCTGTAACACCTACAATTTCATTTAATTGTCCGTGTTTTAATTCATTTTGTCCGCTTTATATTTTCTTTTTTTGATAAGTTTCTTAATTAAATGAGCACCACAAAAGGACTGAACACCTACTGTGAATTATTCCAAAACTGTTGGCTTATCATGTGAGCAAGCCAAGCTTCAAGGCAAAATATTGTGACTCTAGGATTCATGTACTTGACCTGTGCTACCTTATCTATGAAAGCACTGACGTCACCTGTGCTCACAGTTACCGCTGTCATTTTGACTTGACTGGATGGCTAATTCTTTCGTTCCGATGCCAAGGTGCTGATACACTAAAAAATGATGGCGTCTACTCAAGATATTTCACAGAGTATCATGGAAACGGGAGATACAGCTTAAAAGTCAGTGCCCAAGCGAGGAAAAACATCACTAAACTAAATTTAAAACAACAGAATAAGGCTCTCTATGTACCGGGCTATCTTGAAAATGGTAAGTAATATTCCAATAGAAATATGTCTGCCTTGGGTCAAACAAATGTAGCAAACATCAAAAAACATAATGGGCTACAGAAAATCTAGGCCTGTAATTCCTTGTAGATCCACAGACTACAATTCTTCATGTTTGGTTAATATCTCCCTGAATTAATTCCACTTACATTTTGAACACTTCACTCAGAGAAACTTCTATGAGGCAAGCTACAAATATGAACAAAACAATTCTTGTCCTCAAATTAAAAAAAAAAATGTACAGGCAAGTATCAGGTAAAGATAGGCTGAAATACAGTTTAACTAAAATGTCATGTTCTGTTGTCCATTTCAAAATGGTGTTAAAACAAGGGTTTCTGTCACTACAAGTTGTCACTTTTCAATATCTCCTTTTAATCAACACTAGCACTGAAAGATTAGCTTACAAAAACAAACATGACAACATAGAAAGTTACTTTTTTTTTTTCTTTCTGGGGTTTAGATCAACTTAAGCTGAATCCACCCAGACCTGAAGTCCCAGAAGAAACAGCAGAAGCCACAACGGAAAACTTCAACAGAGTAACATCTGGAGGGTCGTTCACTGTGTCGGGAGCGCCCCCTGATGGCAACCACGCTCTTGTGTTCCCACCCAGTAAAGTCACAGACCTGGAGGCTGTGTTTATAGGCGATCATATTCACCTTACATGGACGGCCCCTGGCAGGATCCTCGATACAGGAAAAGGTGAGTTTGACAGTGAGTTTTAAAATCTTCTGAAAGAAAACACGTTATCTTTCATTTGCTAAAAATCTCTCCAATGTCTTATTTATGGGCTACATTTATGGAGTGGTTACACCAGCCCAAAAGATACAAGTTGACCCAAGTTATTCCCGTTTTAATAACTTAAAATCCCAACGTGGTCTTTTCAGATGTTTTTATTAAATTGCCAGTCTCAATTTGAACTATTTTTAAATTAAATGAAAAGACAAAATAACACCATTCTCTTGTATTCTTTTGTCTCAAACAAGGGGAATTTGCTAAGCATTTCTATCTTTGCTCAATTTTATTCAATTACTGTTGAGCTTGAAAACACTACGAGATTCTGTGGAACACAGTTTACTCTTAGAAATTAATTAGGTACAAAATATACACAGGTAAACAAATAATTCCAGACAGATAGATAGACAGAAAGATAGATAGATAGATAGACAGATAAATAGAGAGTGATGATATATTGATAGAGAAACAAACAGATGATTAATAGATAGAAGATACATGGGATAGATGGATGGATGGATAGATAGATGAAGGTAGATATATTATAGATAGATAGATAGATAGATAGATAGATAGATAGATAGATAGATAGATAATGCATAGATCCACCTAAATGAAAAACAAGGTTTGTATAAAGAATGGTAGAATGGATAAGACTTATCAATGGAGAAACTAAATATTAATCAGAGGGCTTTAATAAAGGGAGAAAAAAAACAAAGGTATTTACCATATTTTAAGTATCTCTAACATTATGTAAAAACACAAAAAATAAAGTCATTATACAAGTAAGGGTTACAAATATTTTATTCTCACATTTCATAAGATATTTAATGTCCATTTCTCTGTTAGGTTTCCAAAATCAGGAATTCAATACTCAGGCCGGCATCCTCCTTTCCTTTCTTGAAAAAATAATAGTTATAACAGCTAACATTTCATTCATCCATTCACTAAATACTTACAAAATTGTTCTAAACACATTTTATTCATTATCCTTTACAAATATCCCCATCAGAATATCAACAGCCAAATCCGTTTGTTAAATCAATCAAATGACTAAATCACTAATTTTCGCTTTTAAAAATGGAGATAGAGAGATGGCAATATAAAACTAAGCTGCCAGTCAAGGTCAGGCTAGGTCCTTCCTGAGCCCATGCTCAATTCTGCTCATCCAACTTCTGGGTCCTCTGACTCCTCCTCAGCTGTTCTGCTCCCACCTGTCTTTCCCTGACGGCTCTCACCTTGCTCTTCTTTCAACTTATATTTTTAAAAATAGAGGATACTATGGTCTTCACTGCACATGAACATTATGTGTTCCTTGTTCTAATTTAAACCTGCGCTCTGCCCTTTCTGTCTTTCAGAAGGGAAACCTGGATTCTGGTGGAGGGCTGGTAATAGATGATGCTGAATTAAGTTTCCTGTGATTTTGAAACTGTTTTGAAATAACTGTTCACATGTTTGTCTTTAAAGTCAGTGGAGTGGGATAACCAGACACAAACTGTATCCGGGCTCTCATGCGCTAAAGCTCGCATTCGCTGCTCATACCTCTGGCACAGGCGCAGTGCAGTGGCGGAGACTGGTCCTGGCTAATGAACACGATGTCTCTCTTTTCCAGCACATAGATACATCATCAGAATGAGTCAGCATCCTCTGGACCTCCAAGAAGATTCTAACAACGCTACCTTCATGAATACCTCTGATCTCATACCTAAAGAGGCTGGCTCTAAAGAAACATTTGAATTCAGGCCAGAAAGTTTTAAAATAGGAAATGGCACCAAAGTCTACATTGTAATTCAGGCCAACAGCGATGCTGGCCTCACCTCCGATGTCTCCAACATCGCACAGGCTGTCAAGTTTATCCCTCCAGAGGAACCCAGCTTCCCTGATCTGAGTGTCAAAGTGTCCACACCCAGTTCAATAATTTTTTTATTTATTGCAATTTTATTCATATTTTAAACTAGAAATTGCAGTGGAACTAAAATTCAGTCTTATTTAGGATTAATTTACTCTCCTCATTGTCTACTATAGAATTCTTTGTAACATATAAGTAAATGTTTTATAATATAGGATAAACCTACTAAAATCTGTACACCTAAAGAAACTAAACAAGAGGGAGGACTCTTGATAAAATGCTCAGTTCCTATCCAGAAAGGCAAGAAGCTGTACATCAGAACAAGGAGAAAAGAGGGAACAAGTCAGGAGCCTGACACAGAGGACCTCTGAAAAGCTCTGCCCTGCAGACTATCAATGTAGATGCTGAGACTTATGGGCAACCTTTGGGCAGAGTGCAGGGAATCTTAGGAAAGAAGTGGGAAACAGTAAGATCTGGAGAGGACAGGAACATCACAAGGGGAGCAACAGAACCAAAAAATCTGAGCACAGGGGTCTTTCCTGAGACTGATATTCCAACCAAGGACTATGCATGGAGATAACCTAAGACCCCTGCACATATGTAGCCCTTGGCAGTTCAGTATCCAAGTGGGTTCCATTGTAATAGGAACAGGGACTGTCTCTGACATGAACTGATTGGCCTGCTCTTTAATTACCTCCCCCTGAGAGGGAAGCAGCATTACCAGGCCACAGAAGAAGACAATACAGCCACTCCTGATAAGACCTAATTGACTAGGATCAGAAGAAAGGAAAAGAAATCCTCCCCTATCAGTGGACTCAAGGAAGGGCATGCATGCAGAGGGTGGAAGAAGAGAGGGGTTGGGACGGGAGAAGGGAGAGAACCACAGGGGGGATACAAAGTGAATGAAGTGTAATTAATAAAGAAAAAAATAAAAAAGTAAATGTTCAATGTTTTAAATTTCTTACTTGAATATATTAAAATCAAAGGTTGGTATATATAAATCAGAGCATTTCTTTTATCTACTTTTTAAAAGGATGAGTTAAATTGAACATTTCATTTTCTAAATATTAATATCTATAAAGCTATTACAATAAATATAACATAATTTTGAAGAAATAAATTCACAAGGAAACAATATAAAGCTCAGAAAGAGAAAATGATGTCTGTTTTCAGTGTAAATAAGAAAAAAAAAGAAACACGGACTGATTTCCAGAGAGCTCTGGGAAATTAACTCAGTATTCAGATAAGAAAAAAAAGCAGTATTCTGTAGGCAGGACACACAAGTGAATTCAAACTGGAAAAATCCTCCAATTTAAAGAACAATTTTTTTAAATTCAGTTTATATCCTTGTTGTAGCCCTTCCCTCCCCTCCTAGCCCCACCTTGCCTTCCTCCCGCCTCCCCTTTTCCTCAGAAAAAGTTTCCCTTTTCCATCCAGCCCTGCTTATCAAGTTCTACCAGGACTGAGCCTGTCCTCTTCCCCTGAGGCCTAGCAAGGCTGTCCCACCAGGGCGGAGTGATCAAAAAGCTGGCAAGCGAGTCCATGTCTGATGCAGTTTCCTTACTAGAGCCACATGAGACCTAAGCTGCTCATCTGCTCTATCTGTGGAGGGGGCCTAGGTCCAGTTTATGCATGGTCCTTGGTTGATACTTCAGTCTCAGCAAGACCCTCTGGGCCCTAGTTAGTTGGTTCTGTTGGTCTTCTTGTGGTGCTCTTGTCCCCTCTAGAACCTTTTCTCTTTCCTCCCACTTTTTTTTCACAAGACTCCCTACAAATCATCCAATGTTTGACTGTGAGTCTCAGCATCTGTTTTGAGGTGCTGCTGGGTAGAGCCTCTCAGAGGAGAACTCTGTCAGGCTAAAGGATAAAGCTTAAAACTAACCTTACAATGAAAGAAATATCAAGCTGGCCTTCAGATTGTAAGGATCTTTCAAGAAAAACCTGGCTAGATGTGGAGGAATATGACTGTGATTGCAGCAATTAGGTACCAAAGTAGGAGGATTATAAATTAGCCTAAACTACAGAGCCTAGTTTTGGGCTAGCCTGAACTACAATGCAAGATCCTGTCTCCAAAAAGCAAACTTTCAAAATCTGCTAAGGCATTATTACATGTTCTCTGCAATTTGCCCAAAATGAGAAAGCAAAAGACAAATAGGCAAAATCCATAAGTAGGCAAATTTCTTTGTTGTAATAATCTCTTTCCTGTTACACAACAGAACGCTTGAGAATGGAGACATATAAAGGCAGGTGGTGTTGGAAGCTAACTGATTTAAGATTAAGCGGTAGCTTCTGCCAAGGGCCCACGAAGCTTCGGCTCTTGATGCAGACTCTTGATGCAGACGAAGGATAAACAGGAGCCTGTGGAAGAAGCTGACACTCCCTCCTGATAATCCACCTTCACAGTAGCTAACTGATTTCTGCAAGAATGACTCGGGCCAATGGCTTTGTGATCACCCAGAGCAGCACAACCTCCCAGCATAATTTCAAGCTGGGTTTTAGAGAAAGCAAGCCATTTTCAAGCCAGATCAAAGGCTTTGCGAACAGTGAGTACTGCCTAATGTTTAAACAAGAATCTTGTTCTCAGACAAAAATCTATCAAAGCTTCCTCTTGAATCTTTATCTAAGAACTGCTCTCAGATAATTTCCAAGATTAATGTCCAGTTGTCCTTTTGAAACATACCACCTGTCAAATCTAATTTTCAAATAGACTGGAGGCTCAGGTATGGTGACACAAGCCTCTAATGCCAGCCCTTGGGCGTTCCAGGAACGTCAGGGCTACTTAGCAAGACCCTGTCTCAAAGGAGAAAATGTAACAGAGGGTGAATGGCCTGAGATGAGGCACCAAGGTTGCCCTGTCTGCAACTTTAACCTAAAACAAATTCTCTCCCTTGGGCCTTCCTGGCTCTCTTCCCCTTGAGAAATTATTCTCTGATTCCAGGTTCCCTGGTGCTGTCTTGTAGCTCTCTACAGACCTTTTCTCACTCTCTCTTGTATTTTGAATATTACTTTTGTTCTAGTATAAGAAGAGCCGCACAGACCACTCAGACTCTGGTCTCTGATGTGGATGGTTCACTGGAATGCCTTTTCCAAGCTGATCAAGCAGGGCCACAGCAAGGTCTCGGGAGCCTAACTGTGACATTGACCAGGGTTTTTACAGAAAGAACTGAATGCGAAAGACATGGGGAGGGCATTTGCACATTTTGGCTAACCATACAAAACAATATAACGTTTTTGGCTAACTAGACAAAATATTATCAGCTAACCTTTAAGCTGATTGGTCCCAAGTAAGGTAAGTGAGACAGGGCTTAGGGTCTTCTAGAGAACCTCCAAAGTGTAGTGAGGTGTGTAGATAAGAAGGTTGCAACCAGAGTGAAGCCAAGTATGTAGATAACAAATATGAGTTATGACACTATTGAATCATAATATAAGGTAAAATATAAGTAAAATATAAGGTCATCTATGAACAACCGCTTCCAGGAAGCAGAGTTGAAAAGTTTAAAACTTTGAATGTAATTTCACCTTAGAAACAAAATGGAAGCTGAACGCAAAGATGGCTGCAGCTTTGTCTCAAGTAACAGGCTACAATGATTTTATTCCAACCTAATCCATGAAACAAGTCTTCAAGTCCCTTAGAGGCAAGCCCACATGGACTCTGTCCTGTACTCGTGAGAGTGCTGGGAGGTGGCACAGATCTCAGAGAAGCGTGCGTATCTTCTTTCATGTGGGTGAAAGGCAATGAGAGATTCACTGGGAGTTTGAGTGTCACATGCTGTCTCACGTGTTCTTTCTTCATTATTTATTTATTTACATTAGTTTTGATTTTTTTTTTTTTTTTTTTGGTGAGATGATCTTGCTACATATGTAACCCACCAGTGTAGAATACCAAAGGCCTCAGGCATTATTTTATTTAACTTTTGCAACACTCCTTTTAGAAAGAGAGTACTTTCCTCATTTTACAGCTAAGGAAACTGTTAAAGTTATAAGAGGAAATTTTCTTGCCAGAAGGAGAATGTATGAGCCATTAAGGTGATATGTTATGTTTGTCTAAATTAGGCCAAGATAAACAGGTGCGGTGCATAAGAGTGACTCAAGAAGATGGAAAGAAAAACTGCTACTAGTGAAGATGATGTGGGAAGATTTCACAGATGAGGTTTTACCAAGCCCAGACTGGAAAGCTGGGAAACTCCCAACATGCAGAAAAGCTTTTGTTTTGTGACTACAGCTGGGTTTTCCCATGGTTTCAGGTGGGCTCGGGGACTTTTCATTCCTCATGTGAGCCCTGGAAGGCTCTATTTACAGTTTTACAAATAAAGGCATGAATAAAATTTTGATTTGCAAATTTTTGTGTCAACATTCATACTTACAATAGTATATGATATATAATAATGGTGTGTGATATTTACTGAGGATTTTTTCCGTGTCAGGGTCCTGCTTAAGGTGTTTTCCCTATGTTATCTCATGAGTGCTTCCAATAGTCTGCAGGTCTTTCACAGAGGAAATGAGTGTCTCTGTTCTAGACTAGTGAATGGATTTCCCTTTCTCTGCATTTTTTAAGATCTTTTTTAATTGCTGTTAATTGCATGCACGTGTGTAAGTCTGTTTGGGGTATGCATATGAGTTCAGGTGTCCAAAGAAGCCAGAGGCATTGGAATCCATGGAGTTAGAGTAACAAATGGATGGGAGGGCCTGACATGAGTACTGCGACCGAACCCAGGCCCTCTGCAAGAGTAGTATGTGCTCTTTAAGTGCTGAGCCATCTCTCCTGCCTATTTTTCCAGTATTTTTGTCTTCCATAGATTCTCAAGACACTGGAGGAGAAAAGATAATCTTTGCTCAGTTCTGCAGATCCAAATGTTAACATCTTCCAGAGACAGCCTCACCTATGTCCCCAGGAATAACATTTCAGCACTCACCTGGACATCCCTTAGCCTAGGAAAGCGTCACCTCAAATTAGCTATTACAAAATGAGTTTCAAGCACATGAATAAAATCTTCACAAAGAACCAAAGAGGGATCCAAAAAATAGAGTATAGAGTATAAAAGGTTTTCATTAAAATAAGACTTTGACCTCCCCCTCCCCTACCCCCCAGGGAGGTGCAGCCTTGCTAGGCCACAGAGGAGGACTTTGCAGCCAGTCCTGAAGACACCTGTATCAGATGTAAGGGGAGGAGGTTCTCCCTTATCAGTGGACTTGGAAAGGGGCAGGGAGATAAGGGTGGGAGGGTGGGATTGGGAGGGAAAGAGGGAGTGGGATACAGCAGGGATACAAAGTTAACAAACTGTAACTAATATTAAAAAAAATAAATAAAATAAGACTTTAAATTCTCAGTGAATAAATTTGGTTATGACCTGGAAAATACCTATAATTCATGCTCGCCTCTTTGGAGGACAGACTGCAGGCATAGAGATGCTGGCCAGGAATCCAGCACTTAGAAAGTGGAGGAGAAAGACCATGACTTCAAAGACATCCTGAGCTGCATGACAAGTAAGAGGCCAGCTTGGGCTACACAAAAGTTTGTCTCAAAAAGCAAATTCATGAAGAATTTCCTAATTCTGGGCTCCCTAATGGTGTAATATAGCTCCCTTATAGAAGCTTGCCTGCTCTATTTTGCATTTAAATCTCACTGTGTTCCAATCTAACCCAAAGAACAAGCCTCCAGGTTCTTTGGAGCCAATGCCTGCAATACTCAGTTCTACATTGTTCAATAACAGAGCACTGACTGGCATGGGGGCAGAGAACATAAAGAAACACTCATCTTTTTCACAATATTAAAGAGGAATGAGGAAAAATAACCAGCACACATTTATTGTAGTGTTCAGGATCTTGCTTGGAGAGAACTTACAAAAAGCTGCTTCCATACACATTTTTCTTTATATACGTATGTGTGTGTATATATATTAATTAAACATACCCCTTGCTCTCTCTAACATCATGACTTCTTTTTCTTTGTTATTAATATGTGTTATTAATATATGCATGCATGCATATATATGTTTAAATATGTAAATAAAACCTGCTTCACCAATTTAGTGTTACTTGTATGTATACATTTTTAGAAATGACCATTTGATACTGGATAACTCCCAAAGTATCTGGACTTCTGGCTACTTTGTAGGTTCTTTCTTCCACCCTTTCAACCCCCCTAGCACTAGATAGGAGAGAAAAAAAGATAGAGGGCAAAGGGAACATCATTATCCTTTGACTATTTCCTGCTGATTAGGAATATCGAGTTCCCTGAGGCAAGTACGTTTGCTGTCAGAACATCTAATTTCTTCTTGTTGTTTCTTCTTTGCACACAACTACTTAATAAACTGCAACCAACAGCTCCCAACCAACAACAGCCCCCCCTCTTGGGTCCCTAACTTTATATACCCTCTGAAGAGTCCCTCAGAATGCCAACATCACACATGCATAGAAACTTTGCAGGTGGCAAAATCATGTGTCTGCTGGAGTATGAGGCAAATCGTAGTCAGCTGCTGTGTAGAATCTGAAGCAGCCCCATATCCCACACCCTGGGTTAAAACAAAAATGTATTCTTTAATATTCTGTGTTTTCAAAGAGACCACTATTCTTACTACAGATAGTCCTAGGAACTCGTCTTTTGTCGTCTGTTGTTTCTGGCTTTAAAATAAAGCATCTACTCCATGTGTAACCCAGAAATATGCAGCCCAAGCCCTGATTCATGTTATTCCATTTAATCATCACAACATTTTTTTTAAAAGACCTCATTGTCCTCATTTTGAGTTAGGGAAGTTGAGGCTGAGCGAGAAGTCAAACTCAGAAAAAATAATCTCTTGCTAACAGGAGCATTTAAAATATATTATGTTGGTGAAGATGAGTCTAAGAAATGAAAGAGAACACGATAACAATGACTCAGGCAAGCTGAAAAAACATTAAAATGTTCCAGGAAAGATAATGTGGAAAGATTTTACAGGTAAGGCTGCATCAAGCCTGGGCTGGCAAATTGGAATACTGTCAACAGGAACATACCAAAAAAGCTGTGGTTTCCATCCAACAGACTTTTCTGGTAGTCTTTGGCAGGTTCGGGGACTCATTATTCCCCACTTAAGACTGGAAGACTTACAGATTTACAAAATCAACCTATGCAAACAGAATTCAATTAGCAAAATTTTGTAGCAGCTCCACACTGTCTTAGAAACTACAATCAATGTATTCACCAAAATACCCATGTCACTTAACAAGTAAGTCTTTAAATTAGATAAGGAAGGTCCCAAAAGATATCAGCATTTCTCTCTATTAAATATATGCAAATATTCTGGTCGTGATTCAAATCCTTGAGTGGAGCAGACACATAAATACCCTTCTTGTGTTGCCATTATCTCACTGTCACATGCGCAAACATGGTGCCAGCTCTGAAGGTCTTTCTCCTCTTCACCCTGCATCTCTTGTGGGATGTGAAAAGCTCCAGGGTCCGTCTGAACAACAATGGGTATGAGGGTGTGGTCATTGCAATTAACCCCAGTGTACCAGAAGATGAAAGACTCATCCAAAGCATAAAGGTAAGAAGGATTTCCATTATCTGCATATTTCACGTCCATAATTGTTTTTACATAGGTATCTAAATTGTACATACACACACACACACACACACACACAGAGTTGTACTTTCCCAGAGCTGCTTTGACTATGGTCATCATATATGTAGATTATCTAAAGTCAAGGTGAGTATCTGCTTAGCATCATATTTTTATTATACATTAAAATACATGTTCAAGTTCTTAAATTATTAACTAGCTAAGGTAATAGACTGTGGAGCAAATGGAGAAATGTTCTGCCATTTTGTCTTAACAATGCTGCTTTTACAAAGTCTAAAACCCAAATGGGCACTGGAGGTCAGGCAGCTTGTTGTCTTACACATTCTTCCAATAACTCCTACGTGTTCAGCTTTGCACAACCTAAGAACCTTGCCTGCCTTACCTTAAAGAAAACCTTAGACATATCTAAAGCGGCTTTGCTCCTAATTGCATGTGTTGAACAAAAACGACTATGTAATGTGTACTTTGTCCTTCGATCCCCTGAACCTCTTCACACGGCGGTTGGGAGCAGAGGGCTTCGCTCCTCTGTAAACTGAATGACTGGTTTGCAGGATCGGATCGTAGCAAGTTACAAGCTGAGCAAGCCAGTCTTATCTTTATTGTTAGCACTTGAGCAATGCTAGAGTGACTCGGCAGGTCATAAATACAGCTGTATATGTAGAAAGACAGACATCCATGCAAGAATAATAATTAAAGGCAAGGTTGTAAATTTGTTAGGGAGCGTGAGGGTTATGGGGAAAATTGTGGGGTGGGAAGGAGGGGAGAGATATAGATTCATATTCATATATGAAGTTTTCAAAAAATGTTTTTTTATATAATTTGGTCATTTATTTATACACTCTGCTTGGGAAATCACTCAAAATAAAACAGAAGCAATTCTACTTGACATCAGATACAATAATGACCAGACTTTAAAATCCCAGTCTGTTTGTTTAGACAATGCAATTATAAGAAAATTGATTAAATAAACAACTTGGCCACAGACCTCTGGTCTTAATTGTTTTTATACCTCACTGAGAGTCTTCATTCTCATCTCCAGGCTAACTGCCAACTGGAGGGGTTGGCAAGTGAAAGTCACAAATGACTTTGGGCATATGGAAATGAGTTTATAGGTTGGAGAAAATTAGTAAAATTCATCCCACTTTTTCAGTTACTCTGTGCAAACATATCTGAGAAAGGGGAGCCCGTTTGCTTCCCTTGGCATGGGTATAGACATCTAGGCTCAGTTTGCTTTGACATTGTTATCTCAATGCACTTTTAATTCTCTCAGGAAATGGTAACTCAAGCCTCTCCTTACCTGTTTGAAGCCAGCAAAGGAAGATTTTATTTCAGGAACGTAAGCATTTTACTCCCGATGACCTGGAAGTCAAAATCTGAGTACTTAATGCCAAAACAAGAAACATATGACAAAGTAGGTGTCATGTCCTAAACTGTTTCTGTGCCTTTTCCAAATGAATATTTACAAGGTTGGATAATTATTCACCATTAAGTTAGTAATTAGTAACATAGCTTTTTGTTGTTTGTGTTCCTGTGTGTGTGTGTGTGTGTGTGTGTGTGTGTGTGTCCACATGTTTGTGGACTATTTGTGTCCATGCATTTGTGCATATATGTGTGGGTGTATATATACCCCCATGTGTGTTTGTGTGTGTGTGTGCGCACTCACGTAGGAGTCAGAGGTCAATATTGGATGTCTTCTTCTATTTGCTTTTGCTCTTTAATTTTTTTGAGAAGCAGTCTGTTCCAGAATCTTTGGCTATGCTGTCTCTACCACCTCACCACTGGGGTTACCACACCCGGACATGTGAGTGGGTGTTGGGACTAGAACTCACATTCTTGTACATAAACAGAAAGCACTTAACCCACAGAGCCTTTGCTCAGGCCCAACTTTCATCAGTGTAAAGGAGACAGTTTTTGTTTGTAAAATCTCTTGTTTCTAATGTTCCTGGAATCTGACTGGGTTTGTTCTTCTGCATTTTAGGCAGATGTCATAGTTGCTGAGCCTCATCTGAAATACGGAGATGATCCCTACACACTTCAATATGGACAATGTGGAGACAGAGGACAGTACATCCATTTTACACCAAACTTCCTACTGACTGATAATTTGCCTATCTATGGACCCCGCGGTAAAAATACCTATTACACAGCTCTTATTTTCATTGTGGAAGAGCAAACCACTACCATCAATGTGGATTTCTAAGACTTTAAGAAAAGTAATCATTAAATAATACCTTTGTTTAAAAATATAATAGTTACATCCCACCCATTTGTGCATTCAAACTTATACATAAAATAGGTCACTTGTTATAACTAGCACATTCAAGATTTTTAAGCTATTAAAAAGTATCCATTTCTAAGAGTTTGTAACAATTTCAACTTGGGCAATAGACAAAGCAACTGAAAACAAAAGAAAACTGTGTTCAGATATTTTAACTACAGTTTAATAGATGACAATCTTCTCTCACAGGCAGGGTTTTTGTCCATGAGTGGGCCCATCTCCGGTGGGGAGTATTTGAGGAGTATAACACAGACAGGCCCTTCTACATGTCCACAAAGAACAGGATGGAAGCAACAAGGTATGCCCATGTGAACTAATCTGATTCTACAACTTCTTGCCGATGGGTCTTAGGCTCTCTGTACTAGGAAGTTCAGGTGGCTGGGTGTTCAGACAGTCCACCACCACATTCAAACTGCACCTGCTGTAGATAATTTATTAATGTTTACTGTCAGCCCTATAATTATCATCACAGTGTTATCTAACCCACTACTGTAATCAATAAAGACACAGACACCGGATAGATTTGAGAACAGCCTTATTTCACCTGGGGCGTGACCGATACCACCTCCTAAGCTGCCTTTGCCTCCCAAGCCCCCATCCCACGTCATCTGCTCTACTGATTTCTATCTGGGCTACTTCCCATCCAGAATCTCAAAATGGTTGCTAATGTTCTTCATCTGGGCTGCTTTCCTCCACCCATACCGGTCCAGCTACGTGCTCCCCCACCACCACGCTAACCCATCGCAGCTCTCTGCTTCCTTCCTCCTCTGGTACCTGTCTGCCTCTTTCATGATTCCTCTGTCCCCAAAGCCTGTGAACCTCAGCCACACCTACCTCATCTCTGCCCTGCCTAGCTGTAGGGCTTTTATTAGTCAAACAGGGAGGCAAGGTTATACATGTGGTACATGATAGTTTGTTCATAAGCAGACCTCGGAGCAGCCTAGGCAACAATCAAATACAAAGCACCAGGCCATGCGGTTACAAGTGGCATTATATACTCACACATGTTCCACTAATTCTGGTGTCCCCACCTCGGAGTGAAGGTAGTCAGGTATCGGGACCTATTTCAGTACTCACTGGAATTGTGCAAACATTGTTTATTAGTAGCAGCAAAATGAAATAGGTAAACCCAAAGACATCAACAAATTGCTACTCGAGCTTACACACATTTTCAGTATTATTTTACACTTTTATTTCCTTACATGCATTTTATACTAATTCTGGGTAAAGAAGTGTGACATTTGTTTTTTTCTCCCTCCTTTACCTTCTCTTATGCCCTCCTCCTACCCCCATTCTACGAATCTTTTGTTCTACTTCTTTCAAAACTTTTTAGGGTACAGCTGCCTAATTGAAGCCAACTTAGTTTCTAGAGAGCTTTGTGATAAATATATTTTGTTTCAAATTAGTGAAAAATCATATTTCTCATGAGAATAAGTGAATAAGTTGATTTTTTTTAAATGTAATTCTGGGGAAAATCTAGCCAAACCCTATGTATAAAATTGTAAGATATTTAAGCTTTTGAACTAAAAGCAACAAACACTTAGAATATTGCGGAAAAAAAGTATTGAGAGGAGCTGGAGAGATGGCTCAGAGGTTGAGAGCACTGGCTGCTCTTACAAAGGTCCTGAGTTCAATTCCCAGCACCCACATGGTGGCTCACAACCATCTTTAACGGGATCTGATACTGCCCTCCTCTGGCGTGCACCATATATGCACACAGAACACTCATGAATAAATAAAATTTTTTAAATGTATTGAGAAAAATAGAAGTTGATGTCAAGAGGCAATCAGTCTTTGAAAGAGCATCTTTCAGATAAAGGAGAGTTCTAGAAAACACCTGCCTCTGTCCCCTCCATGGTATGTGGTCTGCAGAACTGCCTGGAGCTTGCACGAAGGCTCAGTGGCTCTCAGAGCTGCCCTCTACCCCAACCTTCACACCACAAAACTATCTCTAGATCTTTCTCCTCCTCCATTTGATATTTGATGGAGAATACTGGGTCTGTCTCACTCTTTTATCAGCCAGCCCTAATTATCCAGGAGATTTTTTTCTCTCTCTCTCTCAATGGATGTTAAAACCCTTGAGGACTGTGTCCCATATATATATATATATATATATATATATATATATATATATATATATAATCTCCTGGTATTGAGCCTGGCACAAAGTCAAAACAAAGAATTATCAAACAATAAATGCTTTATAAACTAAGGAATAGCCAATGAGTTTCCTTATAACCAATCATTAAAAGAAGATACAATGAGTTCCTACAACATGCCAGAAACTATGGGTTCCATGATATGGGGCTAGCCCTTACAGCTAACTCTCTTGAAGCATATTATCTGCCCTTTCCATTCTTGAAACAAAACTAATCTATGGAGGTGAACTAATACCACAAAGTTTAAAAATGGGAAGAACTCCTTCATATAAATGGAAACTCTTTAGAATCCTTTTCTCATGTTCTGCTGCCTGCTCCCATGCCCTGCTGGGGACTTGACAATTAGCTTTATCACAAAGTCCAAATGGCTTGAATTCGTTACTTTTACTTTTTCCTTCAGAGTAGGCCAACATGTAGAGTGAAGAATACTATAAAGTCAAAGCGGTGTACATCATACATAGAAATTTAAAGAATTTCAAGCATAATTTTTGGCTCATCCCACTCCACCAGAAACAATTCTTCTGTAAATCTTAATTTAATATTTACAACAGCATTATAATATAGTAACTACTATCTTTACCTCAAAGTAACAATGACAATAGACTTATTGATCATATTATTAAGCAATGAATGCTTAAGGGATATGAACTAAAAATCCTGTTCTTAGCAAGGAATCTGGCTCATTCTACAAAGCATTTGTCTTACAAGCATGAGAACCTAAAAATGATGCCCAGAACTCATGCCAAAAATGCTGGCATGTTGGTGGTGCCTGTCTGTAACCCCAGCACTGGGGAAAAACAGAAAGGAAGATTCCTGGGGGTGGGGGGGAATGCTGGCTAGTCAGTCCAGCCTAATTGGTGAGTTCCAGGCCAAGGAGAGATCCTGCCTCAAGGAGTGAATAGAATGACTGAGAATAACAGCTGAGGTTGTCCTCTGTCCTCCACATATATACACACATACAGCAAACACATATATAAAACATATACACAAACATTAAAAATAGCAATAGAAGCTCAGCAATGTGGTTTCTACTGAACTCCACGGTGAGGATGGGTAAAGGCCCTTATCTACTCTTGTCAAAATGGAGTGCTTGGTAGATGACCAACACTGGGAAAGATGTTAGGACATTGACCTGACTTCTAGTACTGAAAAACAGAGGGATTTTAAAAATGCTTTGGGGCTGCGGAAGTAGCAATGTGACCGAGGGCTTGCCTCGCACGCACCAGTCCTGAGGTCAGCACCTAGACCACCAAGGTAATCCAATTCTTTCATCACAGATGTTCCACTGGCATCACTGGCAAAAACGTGGTCCGTGATTGTCAGAGAGGCAGCTGTGTGATAAGGCCATGCCGACGTGACTCGAGGACAGGGCTGTATGAACCCAAATGCACGTTCATCCCAGACAAATTTCAGACAGCCTGGGACTCCATAATGTTCATGCAAAATCTCAACTCCGTAAGTACTTTCCATTTATTAAAAAAAAAAAAAAATTTTTTAATCCTTAGAGGAAAATTAACTAAGGAAGCTGGCCTTCTGTTATATGTCCAAACAGAGTGGGAAGAAATTAATCTTAGACTTGATCAAGGCCATTTTCACCACTCCGTGTCATGGTGTCTCTGGGAGTTGCCCTGCCCTTTCTCATTAGCCCGAGTCTTTGCTTCAGATGGAGTAGGCATCCTTCCATCCTTCTCAGTGAGTCACATGACACCACCATAGGGTGCCTCTCCCTTTGTTTCTGTCTATTAAACTTGTGTCTGGAGTAACAACCTCATTTTTTTAATTCTTTCTGGTATGTTATTCATTTTACTTTTCTAATCTACCAGGTAGCTTTAAACATTCTAAAATTTCTACTGTCTTCTCACTAAAGCATACCAAACAACTATAAAATGTTGATATTATAAAATATGTACAATATTGCCTCCACAGAATAGATGTAATCACAAGAAGTTCCCTGAGTACTGTTTGACTTAAACTATCTTTAAGTTATAAAGTCTGGTGAGAAACAATAAGCACTTGGGAAACAGCTGGACACAGTGAGAAACCCATTCTGACATTTCAATCTATCATGAGGGGAAACTTAATAATCAGAGATTTACTTCTATTTTCAAGATGTTTCAGTTCTGTCTATGTGTCTGTGCGTGTGCGTATGCGTGCGTGTGTGTGTGTGTGTGTGTGTGTGTGTGTGTGTGTGTGTGTGTGTGATTGCTGGAGACTGCAGTGGCCACAGTTGTCCAGAGCTCTGGAGCTGGAGTTACAGACAGGCAGTTAGGACCCATCACATGGGTTCTGGGACTCGAACCTGAGTCCCCTGCAGGAGCTTATGTGTTCTTTATGCTGAGCCATCTCTTCTGCCCCTTGTTCTCTTGTCTTTATTTAAAAACTAAAATACACAATCTGCATTGCTGTTGTTATTGGTTTATAAAGGTTAATATAAACAAAGAATTAACAGCCCTTGACACAAGGTGCCTACAAAATAAACCAGGGTTTTAACTATAAAACTCATAATACAGGTGGGAAATAACTACTTGTCTCTTTCTCAGGATTAGCCCAGGCTTTCTCTTTCCTAGTTTTTAACTGATAACACAGTAAGTAATTTTGATAGACATATAATAAATTTAATGGAATAAAGTGTAATGTTTCAATAGCTGTATCCAGTGTGTAGTAATCATTTAGAACTAATTATCATATCCATCACTACAAACACATAGAAATACGAATGTTCAAAATCCTCGCGTTAGTTTCGAAACTCAGAAGTATGGTTAAGAGTAATCACCCCACTGCGCACACTCACAGCCTATAGATCGCCTCAGCTTACTCCTGCTCTCTAGGGGAAGTGTTAGACCTATCCTCCAACCTCTTTTCATCTCCTGTTTCCCCCACACACACTGCACAGCTGCAGTGAACTTATGTTGGATTCTACTCCTATTCTATCTTTTTATTTTTAGCCTCAACATTATTAGTAAAATATTTGTCTTCCTATACCTAACTTATTTCAGTTAGCACAATGGCCCCAAGAATCATCAATGATGAGACACATAATAGTACTTTATTTTTCGATATGGTATTCCATTGTGGACATACACATTCTGTTAATCCAGTCATCCATGGATGGACACTCACCTTGACTTTCTGTTTCTAGATCTGGACTAGCATGGCCAGTATGGGCACACACCTACATGGGAGGAACATACTGATCTCCACAAATTGATTACAATATATACCCAGTAGGAAGATTTCTGGGTCACATAGTATTTCTATTTTTGGTGTTTGGAGGAACTTCTATAAGTATTGCCCTAAAATGGGAGTTCATTTCACATCTATAACCAACAATGGAGGTTTATCTTTCCAGTATTCTCTTTTTTGTCTTTTTTTATTATAATCATCTAACTAAAGTGAGGTACTATCTCACTGTGGACATAGTTTGTACTTCTTAACAGTGTTGAATTGTTTCTATATATCTATCATTCATTGGTATGTCTTTGCTTGAAAATACCCCTTCATATCATCTGCCCATTGTCAACCAAATTATTTGTGGATTTTTCTGCTCAATTATTCCCTCAAATAATAAATTTTGATTATTAGTCACTTGTCAGGTGAATAGTTTACACATGTTTTCTGCTACCGTGAAGATTGTATATTTACTGTTATTAGCTTGCTGTGAACCCCAGTGTTAATGCAAAGAAAAGTTTCAATACAGATAAAATATAGTTTAAAATGTGAAGTTTATAAAAGTATTCAAAGCAGCTAATCAAAATAGCATATCTACAAACTGTAAGATCAGTTAAGTAAAAGAAGCAAATTATTGGCAACAAGTACTTACAAGGCAGAGACTTATAAAGATTTGTAGTTTCTGATAATTAAAAATTTTAATGCAACCTAGGAAATGATGAAAATTCAAGTAAAAATGGAGATGTGAAATTTTCTTTTAAATTGTTTTAAATGTGTTTATTTTATGAGAATGGGTGTTTTGTCTGAAGGTGTTGCTGTGCTCCATGACTGGCGCCCACGGACGACAGAGAGGGTGTCAGAGCCCCTGGGACTATAGTTACAGACAGTTGTGAACCACCATGTGGGTGCTGGGAATTGAACTCACATCCTCTGTAAGAGCAGCCAGTATTTTTAACTGCCAAGCTATCTCTCCAGCCCCTTCTTACTTCCCAAGTTTTAAGTGGATGTGCGTCAGGGCCACATTTAACACACGATGGAGGGAACTTCACTTTGATCAGCTGAAATGGAGACAACAAAAGAATTCAACACCCAAACAGACATGAAATCATGTGGCACAAGAGGATGCCTGTCCCTCGTCATACACCAGCAAGTCATATGACTCTCAGGAGGCAACTCCTGCTGCCTACCAGAGGCATGACTAGTAAGGAGGATTGCTTACGTGCCTGAAATATGCAGAGAATATACATATATACAAATATACATTGTTCAGAGACAAAAACTTTGTGCTATACGTGTATCTTATCTAAAATAACAATAACTTCTAATTATCATAAAAATAGATTAAATATATTATATAAAGTCAAACCCCAGGAGACGAATTATGTGAAATAGTGAATAAGCCTATCATTTCCTTCCTTTAACCTACATTCTTTCTATTTCAAGCTCAGCACTGTGATAGAAACTGAAAATAAAGAAGTAACTACAAGATAAACTGTTCTTGGGGAATCCGGCTTAACAGCAAAGGCAGAAATACCAGAAAACTTTGAATACAAATTAGGGAGAGATATAGAGATAACGCCAGTGTGTCTGAAGGTCAGACGGCTTCTGTCCATGGCCAAACTACCCTGAGGGTAGCTAAGCTCCTATGATCCGGGAAGCAAAGCACGGATGGGCCGGCTTGGTGCTTGAACTGGAAGCAAGGATTTCCCAAGGGATGCTCTATAAATGGGGTTTGAGACAGATAACTATAATGTACCAAAGCAAGAATTATATGCAAACAAACAAACCTGACAGAAGCAGAATGTGTGCGGCAGAGGCGCCATGTGACTGCACAAGCTGAGCATTCTCCAACTTTTTTATTAGCAAACGCTTAAATGCTTACAAAAACATCTTCAGGCAGATGACAATATGAAAGCAAAAAGAGGAATTTGCCTTTTCTAGTTTTCTAAATGCCATTCGGGTGAATGGAAACTCTGGGAAATTTTTCTGACATTCTTTGGACAAGAAGTTCTGTGACAGAAGCAAAGGAGACAGGCTGAGACAGGCAAAGGAGTCAGGAATGGGGCTGAGACAAGAAACAGACACCCACAAAGCTAGGGTGTTTGGCTTTCCTCTTCTCAGCTTCAGACTAGCACTGAAATGGCTGCTTACTTCTTCCAAGAATGGAAGGATACTACTGTGAAGGCAAGGATGGGATGGGATGAGACTGAGTGAGGCAGGGAGATCAGCTGGAACACAGCAATAGGCAGGTGACAGCCTTGATTCAGAGACTGTGGTAGGGGGAAGGGAGGGTGTGACAGGCATCACCTCACACTGGGAAGCCATGTGAAGCATGGCTTTGTTGGCATCCATATTTTCCTCCCATCCAACAGAACCACATGTGGGAGATTTGAGCCTGGGCCCTGTCAGAAAGGAAGCCCGCTCTTACAATGCAAATGTGAGAGATTTAGATGTGAGGTAGTTCTGAATCTGAGCTTTGATCTGCAGATGTGGGAAGAGGACACTAAAATAACAAAATTACACTGTTACAAATCGCTTCTGCAAGCTTACTGTAGAATGTTTCCTTCCTGGACACAGTGCTAGCTTACAAAGACATTTTTCCATCTTTCCCCAGGTTTCCAAAACCTGGAGGATTTTCAAAGTTTCTGAAACATCCACTGGCAGAATTATTAGATGCAATTCATCACTTGGAGAAATAACTACATTTCTTAATTTTTCTCCCTGACTTTTACTAATTTTTTTAGGTATACTGTTTTTGTGAACCAGAGTTCCTCAGCACTGATAACAGCTAGATTGTTAGTATCCATCCTCAAATTTCTGGGCCCACTGTGGAGATGAGGAGCCTGGATGACTAAAGAACATTTCTCCTGTTCCACGTTTAGGAGACCATTAGGAATTAGCACAAGCCCTAACTCCCTTTTCTTCGTTTAAGACATAAAATCCTTAAAAGTCCAGAAGAGAAAGCTAGAAGCTGATTCAAGCAGCTGTGTGAGCAGCCATCATCCTTACCTATGCAATTCGATTGTCCCAAAAGAACCTTCCAAAAGCAACAGCTTTGCCTCTGTGCATGTAAAAATACATCCAAGCATGTAAAATGAATGGCTAAACATCTGAACATAAACAGGGTTGTCAAGAGACAAATCCTGTTCAGGAAACATGTGACACTAACTTTAAGAGGAAAAAAAAAAAAAAGATGATCTCTTATAAATTATTACAATATCATGTTTTGATTTTTTTTTTCAGGTGGTTGAATTTTGCACAGAAAAAACCCACAATACACAAGCCCCAAACCTACAAAATAAAATGTGCGATCACAGAAGCACGTGGGACATAATCAAGAAGTCTGCTGACTTTCAGAATGCCTCTCCCATGATTGGGACAGAAGTGCCGCCTCCACCTACATTTTCATTGCTGAGGTCCAAACAGCGAGTGGTCTGCCTGGTGCTGGATAAATCTGGAAGCATGAGCGCGGTGAGACACCTCTTGCTGGGTTTCTTAAAAAGTATTTAAGTTAAATATAGAATTATAATTTATTCTTAGGTTTAGATCTAGTAAACTAACATATATTCATGTTCAAATATAAATATATATATTCATGATCAGATAAATACCTGCCCAATGATTTTATGTAAGTAAGTACCTAGAATAAGTTGAAAAAAAGAAAACAAGTTATTGAGCCTACTACTCTGTCAAGAAAGATGACTCCCTTCCCCCAGCAGCCATTGGCTGCCCATAGCTCCTCCTGAGCCCTCCCCCATCCTTACAGGGATGTTGGCGGACTTGGTCTGGTGCAGGTAACCACAGCTGCTGTCAGGTCATGAGTGCAACGGCCACGTCATGCCCAGAAGACAGCGTCTCACGGCTCCAGCTCTTACGTTCCTTCCACAACCTCTCCTGCCATGTCCCCTGCACTGGGCAGAAGGCGGGATACAAATGTATCCTGTTTAAGGTTTATCCCTCACTCAAAATTCATTTATTCTCTGCATGGTGAGCAGTTCTGAGTCCCTGAATCAGCTACTGCAAAAAGACGATTCTGTGAAGGCCCCAGAACCTAAGACCTGAAAGCAGCACCGACCTGTAGCTATAAGCGTATTTAGAAGGCAAAATGCACATATTTGATGACATGGACACCTGGCAAACCGTAGGCTCCCCACGGCATCCTCGGACCCCCCAGCCTGGGGCTCAGGACCATTTTTACAGCATGAGTGTTGAATTCTCTCTCTTCAGTTCCAATCAGAAAGCAGTTGATTACACTGGCAGTTAGACCAGTGGACACATTTCGTTGGCAGGTGGGTGTTGTAGTCGACCATTGACTGTAGCACCATTAATGATTTTTTTTTTATTTCCAGAGGCCTATATAGCACATTCTGGCAGCATGAAAGCTTCTGTCAGGGAGGAGGATTCTTGCTTATCTCTAGCTTGATTCCTCTGTATCCTACAACCAAAGTATGATGCCTTACTGACTAGTTCTGGCAGGGCCCACCAAAGGCAGTGATAGTGATCTATATTTTTTTAGAGGGGTTGGAACCTCTTTGTTCAGCGACTTGTAAGGGGGTATCCCACACTTATTTCTGGAGTTATTGTTTAATAACCTAGGCCTTCTGAGGACAGTAATATCCCATCAAGAACACAGACATAATTTTAATGGTTATATCAAAAAAATGTTCTATGATCTCAAATAATTCCTCATTAATGGACATTTTGGAGATAATCATTGTGCTCCTTTTTAAAAATATGTTCCACTGAGCATCTTTTTATGCACTTTAAAAATAATTTCCTCAACTCAAACTTCCAAATAGATAACTGCTGGATAAAACAGCATAGACGTTGAAGGCTTTCACAACCATAACAACTAATGCTTAAACATTTTAAACTTTTTAATAAGATGAAAGAGTTAATTTTTAATGTCCATTAATTATCACCATATTCTACAGCCCATGGATGACTCTGCTGTTCGTTAATCCGTCAAGATTTGAAGAAACTCTGCAGTTGTTCACAAATCTTTTTCTTACAGGAAGACCGTCTTATTCGAATGACTCAGGCAGCAGAACTTTATTTAACCCAAATTGTTGAGAAGAAATCTATGGTTGGATTAGTCACATTTGACAGCGTCGCCAAAATCCAAAATTATCTAATAAAAATAACCGATAGTAGTGACTACACAACCATCACTGCAAACCTCCCTCAAGAAGCTTCTGGCGGAACTTCGATTTGCAGGGGACTTGAAGCAGGATTCCGGGTAATCTTTCCAACTTAATGTAATTTGCTATTTGATTGTTGCTTTCCATCCTATTCGTTTACCTTTGAATAAGGGTCATGAATTCAGACTTCCCTCATTTAATAACATTCTGATCCAAATGAGACAAAGCATCTATGAAAGAAAAAAAAAAAAAAGGCAGCTTCACCAACCATTATGTCTAGCCACAGCCTCTCTGTGTCCAGCTGCTCCACTGACAAATTCGTGAGATGCTGCCGGGCACAGTGGCACACGCCTCTAATCCCAGCACTCAGGAAGGCAGAGGCAGGTGGATCTCCGTGAGTTTGAGGCCAGCCTGGTCTACAAAAGATGTCTAGGACAGCCAGGGCTACACAGAGAAACAAATAGCTGATAGATAGATAGATAGATAGATAGATAGATAGATAGATAGATAGATAGATAGATAGATAGATAGAATAGTGAGATGCTGAATGGCACTGGGGAGTTGATAAGGTGAAATCTTCTTGGTCAGATGATCATCCAAACCTCACTGAGGATCTACACATTTCTCTGGGACTTTCATAGATAGAATTTCTATGCATAGAAGATAATGCCATGGAAAGGCTAGAAAGAAATTAGTAACTAATGTGGTAGGGATAAAAGTCATCACACAGTACATTTAAAAATCCAGAGACAGGCAGCTCCGGAAGCAATGATCAAGGAACACAGGTGGATATAAAATGAAGTCATGATCTGAACCTAAAAACGAGGACTTCCTTCTGCCCACCAAACCAGAGGTGACAGCATTCGTCTAATTTTCTTCCACCCCATCAGCCTCCCCTTTAGTGTGTTTATGGGCACGTTTTGAGGCGCTGCACAGAAGAGCATTTCCTTCGCCCCTCCTCTTGTGCCAGCCGTCCGTGTCTCTGCAGACCACTGGTTCATGCTGTCCCTCAGCTTTCTTGTGGCGCCCATTTGTCAGACACCAGATGGGTTTTGAAACCTGTGGGGCTCTCTCTCCTGTGCCTTATCTAAAACATCTTGGGAAAGTAACTCAACAATGAAAATCTCTTTCCTGAAACCAGATGACATGGGTATTGACAGCGTTTACATCGTTTAACTGTAGCAATTATGTAAGATAAGTAAATGTTCACAAAGGTTTGCTATTATGAAACTAATTATCGTGTCTATTTTGTTCTAAACTCTAATGAGTACTATATGTCAGAAATAAACTCAAATGATTGTACAAGTTGGTTTATGTGTTTTTCTTAGTAAATTTTATTATATCTTATATTTTGGTCACAAAGTTTATTGCTGAACAGATTCTGGCAAATCACTTTGAACATTATAAACAGCTTTTACTTAATGAAATCATATCAATATGTAAGTGTAATAGTTTCAGAATCATTAAAAGTAGCTATGTGTTGACTGTATACTGCATTACTGTCTGTGCTAAATGCTTTAGATGCGTGATCTTTGTCATTTTAGGAGTCGGGTAACATTATTATAGCCATTCTGCACAAGACAAAGCTGAACTGTAGAATAACTAATCTATCTCAAGGTCATAAGACAATTGCCAAATCTAGGATTGAGAACCTTATCTCTAGAGTCTATACACTTGATCATTATACTAACAATACGTAATGTGTGTGTGTGTGTGTGTTTGGGCAAATTTCAGGAAAGACTAAACATGAATTAGAAAATAGATTTTCTTCTCAAGGTACCTAAAACCAAGGTATCTAACACCAAAACTCTTAATTAATCCTCTTGGTGGAAGTCAGAAAAACATGAAAACCAACTGTAATTAAAATTTTATCAAAAAATAATAATAAAATAAAAATTATCAACTTCTTCCTGCATGATAAGCCAAAATTGTTTTGTTTTAGGAAAATCATGAAATTCTGCAGTAATAAATAAATAAAATACATGGAAAAGTTAAACATCAAATAATTCAGTCTTGCTCACCCAACTTTAATCATGATTTTGCAAATGTTATTGAGTCTGAAGCCTTCTACAACTGTCTGGAAATCTTTCATCTTCATCAAGTATTCCATGGGGAGATATAACAGCAGTTATTTATATTCAGTTTTATTTATATTCTTTAAGTAGCTATGTCAGTATGTCAGTAACTTTTATATGAGATTTGCTCTTCCTCAATTGAGTAGCAAAGATGTGCATATCTAGAGGACTAAAAATACTGAGAAGTCTAGTGTTTTACTCATTTCCACGTATCACCTCAGCTAAGAAAGAGAATGTAGAAAATACGTATGTTCTTAAATTTATTCAGAAGTGACATTCTGTAATTAACTTTTCACAGACAATTACTTCCAGTGACCAGAGTACGTCCGGTTCTGAGATCATATTGCTAACCGATGGGGAAGATGATAAAATACGTTCCTGCTTTGAGCAGGTCAGAAACAGCGGCGCCATCATCCACACCATCGCTCTGGGGCCCTCCGCTGCCCAAGAGCTGGAGACTCTGTCAAGCATGACAGGTACAAGTTTGGACAGAGTTCAGACCGATGTTCATCAAGCAGGAAACTGACCAACCAAACCTGTCTTAAAATTACTTTTTGTCTCTTCCTGACCTTCAATTTAAGTTCCTCTTTCTCCACTTATGCACGTAATAACTTCTTAAATTATTCAGTACCTGCTGCTTTCATTCATCCTTTTTCCATTTTCTATTCAGCTCACTAAACACAACTTCTGTCTTTATGGCTACTCAAATACAATTCCAAAGTGTTTGCTCAATTCTAAAATACCATTCAATCCCACAGCAAAGATTTAGACATCTCATTTTTTTTAAGTGTGGAAGTGGAAATCTGGAAACTACAAGTGATTTTCTCAAGACCACAATTAAAACCCTGGTCACCAGCTCAGGACTTCCCACCTATCCACTCTGCTCCCACAAAATCTGAGTTTGGAATATTTCTGTATCTTCCCTTCCTATCCAGTGTTCCTGTCACACGCTAGCCCAGCACTCACAGCCCCCTGCCTGGCTTACTTCAGAATATTCCAGTTGGCCTTTCTGACATTTGTTGGTTTAGTTAGTATGCCCTGGTTGGTGTGTTTCTGGTGACCATTAGTGGAATTTTTATTCTCTATGAGCTATTCTTTCCTAGTTTTCCATACCCCAAAAAATAATCTCGATTGTACTCACACTATTTATTTTCTGCATTTTGCTGACGTTCATTCTGTTGTAGACTGTCATCCTCTAATGATCTAAGTGTGTTTTGGCCTAACAAAGAAACAAGCATTTGGTCCATACAAGCAGTCTTAAGTCTCCCCTGTCATAGAACCACTGGGTATCTAGGCCAGTTTTACTTATATACTTACATTTGATGATTAGGTCACATAAACTATGAAATTTGTCTTGTGCTTACATTTTTCATTTATCTCTATCTTACCTATTTTGAGTAAGATTTCAGTTAATATAGGTTTATATTAAGTTCAGAGATACTCCGGAAGTCCATGAGATCCTTAGAAACTCATCTTTGGTGGAATTGAAAAAGAAATGTTGACTATAGGCTGGTGAGACAGCTTCATGAGTAAAGGTGCTGACCTTCAAATTCACAACCCAAGTTCAACCCCTGGACCAGTGTGGTGGAAGGAGAGAAGCAAGTCCAACAAGCTATCCTCTGACTTCCATGCATGCACAGGCGCACACACACTAAAATAACGTAATATTTATTTAACAGTAAAATGGAAATGTCAAGTGGATTTTAAAGTAAATTGCTGATAGCACATCTGACTTTCCCATTTAAAACTCCACTTTAGGAGGGCTTCGCTTTTACGCCAACAAAGACGTAAGTGGCCTTATCGACGTATTCAGCAGAATCTCAGCTATGAGTGGCAGCATCTTGCAGCAGGCTCTGCAGGTCAGTATTCAAATACTCAGGATTTTCTCAAATACGCTGCAATATTTTCTCACAGTTGCAATAAATTTCTATCATGCTACTTACTACCTATTCTTTCTCTAATAATCATTCTCTTGCCAAAAAAAAATTTCCCATTGTGAAAAAGGAAAACGCCATTAGAAATTTTTCTTTTTCTTTCTTCTTCCACCTCTTTCCCTCCCCCTGAGACAGGGTTGCTCTGTGTAGCCTTGGCTGTCCTGGACTCAATTTGCAGACCAGGCTGGCCTCGAACTCATAGAGATCCACCTGCCTCTGCCTCCCAGAGTACAGGGATTACAGGCATGTGCCACCGTGCCTGGTTGGAAATTTTCTTTTATATGACATATAAAAAGTGGTCTTTCCCTTGCACTCTTCTCTTCTTAGTTTTACGTGTGTGTGTGTGTGTGTGTGTGTGTGTGTGTGTGCTAGAGAACGAGAGACAGAGAGAGCTATTCAAAAATTCCCTGTCTTTTTTTAATTTATTATTTTTTATATTAACCATAGGTTATTTACTTTGTTTCCCAGCCATAGCCCCCTCCCTCCTTCCCTCCCAATCCTACACTCCCTTCCTCATCTTCTCCCTGACCCTTTCCAAGTCCATTAATAGAGGAGGACCTCCTCCCCTTCCATCTGACCCTAGCTTATCAAGTCTCTTCAGGCCTGGCTGCAATGTCCTCTTCTGTGGCCTAGCAAGGCTGCTCTTCCCTTGGGGAGATGGGGGAGTCGCCACTGAGTTCATGTCAGGAATAGTCCCTGTTCCCCTTAGTAGAGAACATTTGGACACTGAGCTACCGTGGGCTATATCTAAGCAGGGGTTCTGGGTTATATCCATACATGGTCCTTGGTTGGAAAAAACAGTCTCATGAAAGACCCCTGTGCCCTGTGGTGCTTACTCTCCAGGTCATAGTAACTCTCTCTTCTTTCATATGATTCCCTGCACTCTGTCGAAGGTTTGGTTATGAGTCTTTACATCTGTTTTGATACACTGCTAGGTAGAGTCTTTCAGAGACCCTGTGCTGTAGGCTCCTTCCTGTTACTTGTTTTCTCCTACATCCAATATTCATCCCATTTGTCTTTCTAAGTGAAGATTGGTCATCTTACCCCGAGTCCTCTTTCTTGTTTATCTTATTTAGGTGTATAGACTTCTATATATTTATCCTATCTTATAGGTCTATATAAGTGAGTATATACCATGTGTGTCTTTCTGCTTTTGGGATACCTCACTCAGGATGATCAACTCTAGGTCCCATCATTTGCCTGCAAATTTCATGATTTCCTCATTTTTAATTGCTGAGTAGTATTTCATTGTGTAAAAGTACCACAATTTCTGTATCCATTCCTCAACTGAGGGACATCTGGGCTGTTTCCAGGTTCTGGCTATTACAAATAAAGCTGCTGCAAACATAGTTGAGCAAATGTCCTTGTAGTGTACTTGGGCATATTTTGGATATATACCTAAGAGTGGTATAGCTGGATCTTGAGGAAGTACTATTCCTATCTGTCTGAGAAAGTGCCAGATTGATTTCCAAAGTGGTTGTACATTCCCACCAGCAATGGAGGAGGGTTCCCCTTTCTCCAGTATGTGTTGTCACTTGAGTTTTTGATCTTAGCCATTCTGATGGGTATAAGGTGAAATCTCAGGGTCATTTTAATTTGCGTTTGCCTCATGGCTAAGGACATTGAGATTTCTTTAAGTGTTTCTCTGCCATTCTACAATCCTCTACAGAGAGTTCTCTGCTTAACTCTGTACTCTATTTTTAATTGGATTACTTGACTTGCTTTTTAACTTTTTAACTTGCTTTTTGACTTTTTAACTTCTTAAGTTGTTTATATATACTGAATATTAGTCCTCTGTTAGATATAGGTTTGGTGAAGATCCTTTCCTAGTCTGTAGGTTGTTATTTTGTTTTGGCGACAGTGTCTTTTGCTTTACAGAAGCTTTTCAGTTTCATGAGGTCCCATTTATTGATTGTTGATATTAGAGCCTGTGCTGTTGGTGTTCTGTTGAGGAAGTTGTCTCCTGTGCCAATGAATTCTAGGCTCTTCCCCAATTTTTCTTCTAACCGATTTAATGTGTCTGTTTTTATGTTGAGGTCTTTGATCCACTTGGACTTTGTCAAAAATCAAGTATCCATAGGTGTGTGGGTTTATTTCTGGGTCTTCTATTCAGTTCCATTGATCCACTATTCTGTTTCTGTGCCAATACCATGCAGTTTTTATTACTATTGCTCTGTAGTACAGCTTGAGATTGGGGATGGAGATGCCTCTAGATGATCTGTTGTTATACAGCATCGTTTGGGAGATTCTGGGTTTTTTGTTTCTCCATATGAAGTTGAGAATTTTTCTTTCATGGTCTGTAAAGAATTGTGTTGGTATTTTGATGGGAATTGCATTGAATCTGTAGATTGCTATTGGCAGAATGGCCATTTTCACTCTATTAATCCTACCAATCCATGGGCACAGGAGATCTTTCCATCTTCTGATATCTTCTTCAATTTCTTTCTTCAGAGACTTGAAGTTTTTCTCAAACAGGTCTTTCACTTGCTTGGTTAGTGTCACCCCAAGGTACTTTATGTGGTTAGTGGCTATTGAGGAGGGTGTTGTTTCCCTAATTTCTTTCTCCGTCCTTTTGTCTTTGGTATACAAGAGGGCTTCTGATTTTTTGAGTTGATTGTGTATCCAGCCACTTTGCTGAAGGTGTTTATTAGCTGAAGGAGTTCTCTGGTTGAATTTCTGGGGTCGCTCATGTATACTATCATATCATCTGCAAATACTTTGTATTTGTGAAGATCCTTTCCTAGTCTGTAGGTTGTTGTTTTGGCAACAGTGTCTTTTGCTTTACGAAGCTTTTCAGTTTCATGAGGTCCCATTTATTGATACTTTAGTGATACTTTGACTACTTCCTTTCTGATTTGTATCCTCTTGATTTCCTTTAGTTGTCTTATTGCTCTAGCTAAGACTTAAAGTGCTATGTTGAAGAGATAGGGAGACAGTGGGCAGCCTTGCTTTTTCCCTGCTTTCAGTGGGATTGGTTTAAGTTTCTCTCCATTGAGTTTGATATTGGCTATAGGCTTGCTGTATATTGCCTTTACTATGTTTAGGTAGGTGCCTTATATCCCTGATCTCTCCAACACTTTAAACATAAATGGGTGTTAGATTTTGTCAAATGCTTTTTCAGCATCTAAGAAGATGATCATGTGGTTTTTTCTCCTTCAGTTTGTTTATATAGTGGATTACATTGATGGATTTCCATATATTGAACCACCCTTGCATGCCTGGGATGAAGCCTACTTGGTCATGGTGGATGATATCTTTGATGTGTTCTTGGATTCAGTTTGCAAGTATTTTATTGGGTATTTTTGCATCGATGTTCATAAGAGAGATAGGTCTGAAGTTCTCTTTTTTTTGTTGGGTCTTTGTATCAAGATTACTGTGGCTTCATAGAATGAGTTTGGTGATGTTCCATTTCTATTTTGTGGAATAGTTTGAAGAGAATTGGAGTTAGTTCTTCTCCGAAGGTCTGGTACAATTCTATACTGAAACCATCTGGCCCAGGGCTTTTTTTGGAAGCGAGACTTTTGATGACCACTTCTATTTCCTTGGGGGATATGGGACTATTCAATCTTTCTACCAGATCTTGACTTAATTTTGATAGATGGAATTATCAAGAAAATTGTCCATTTCCTTTAGACTTTTCAAATTTTGTAGCTTATAGGCTTTTGTAGTACAACCTAATGATTCTTTGGATTTCCTCAGTGTCTGTAGTTATGTCGCCCTTTTCATTTCTGATTTTGCCGACTTGGATAGTTTCTCTCTGCCTTTTAGTTAGTTTGGCTAAGGGCTTGTTATCTTGTTGATTTTTCTCAAAGAACCAGCTCTTGGTTTCATTGATTCTTTGAATTGTTTTAGTTTCTAATTTATTGATTTCTGCCCTGAGCTTGAATATTTCCAGTCATCTACTCCTCTTGGGTGCATCTGCTCCTTTTTTTCCTAGGGCTTTCAGGTGAGCTATTAAGTTGCTTGTATGCAATGTTTCAAATTTCTTCTTGAAGGCACTTAGTGCTGTGAATTTTCCTCTTAGCACTGCTTTCATTGTGTCCCATAAGTTTGGGTATGTTGTGCCTTCATTTTCATTGAATTCTAGGAAGTCTTTAATTTCTTTCTTTATTTCTTCCCTAACCCAGCTGTCATTGAGTAGCGAGTTGTTCAGTTTCCATGTATGTGCAGGCTTTTTGCTATTTCTGTTGTTGTTGATGTCCAGCTTTAGACCATGATGGTCATATAGGATACAAGGGATTATTTCAATCTTCTTGTATCTGCTGAGGCTTGCTTTGTGACCAACTATGTGGTCTATTTTGGAGAAGGTTTCATTAGGTGCTGAAAAGAAGGTATACTCTTTTGAATTTAGGTGAAAAGTTCTGTAGACATTTATTAGGTCCATTTGATTTAGGGCCTCTGTAAGTGCCGTTATTTCCCTTTTTTGCTTCTGACCGGATGATCTGTCCCTGGGTGAAAGTGGAGTGTTGAAGTCTCCCACTATTAAGGGGTTGAGATCAATGTGTGTTTTCAGCTTTAATAATGTTTTATTTACAAATGTAGGTGGTCTTGTATTTGAGGCATAGATGTTCAGAATTGTGATGTCCTCCTGTTGGAATTTTCCTTTGATGAGTAGGAAGTGCCCCTCCTCATCCTTTTTGATTAATTTTGGTTAATATCTATTTTATTAGATATTAGGATCGCTACCCCAGCTTGTTTTCTGGGTCCATTTGCCTGAAAAACATTTTTTCCAACTCTTTTCTCTGAAGTAGTGTTTATCTTTGTTGCAGAGGTGTGTTTCTTGGATGCAGCAGAATGTTGGATCCTGTTTCTGCAACCATTCTGTTAGTCTGTGTCTTTTTATTGGACAGTTGAGTCTATTGATGTTGATAGATAATAGTGACCAATGAGTGTTAGTTCCTTTTATTGTAGAGTTGGTGGTCTTGCTGTGATTCATTGCTTGTTTTCTTTTAATTTTTGTTGGGAAATTATCTGTATCCTATGTTTTCTTTTGTGTAGTTGTTTTTGTTTGATTGGAATTTTCCTTCTAGTATCTTTTGTAGGGCTGGTTTGCTGTGTAGATATTGCTTAAATTTAGTTTTGTCATGGAATGTTTTGTTTTCTCTATGCATGTTGATTGAAAGCTTTGCTGGGTGTAATAGTCTGGGTTGGCATCTGTGGTCCCTTAATGTCTGCATGACATCTGCCCAGGCCCTCTGGCTTTCACAGTTTCTGATGAGAAGTCCGGTGTGATTCTGATAGGTCTACCTTCATATGTTACTTGGCCTTTTTCCATTGCTGCCTTTAATATTTTTTCTTTGTTCTGTAGGTTTAGTGTTTTGAGTATGATGTGACATGAAGAGTTTCTTTTCTGGTCTAGTCTATTTGCTGTTCTGTAGGCTTCTTGTATGTTTATGGACATTTCTTTAAGTTGGGAAATTTTTCTTCTATGATTTTCTTAAAAATATTTTCCGGACGTTGGAGCATGGAATCTTCTTTTTCATCTATTCCTATTACTCTTAGGTTTCATCTTTTCATGGCATCCTTGATTTCTTGGATGTTTTGTGTTTCGGACTTTTCCGATTTTACTTTTTTTAGAGAGAGGTATCAATTTCAGCAAGTGTGTCTTCAGTACCTGAGATTCTGTCTTCCATCTCTTGAATTCTATTGGTGATGCTTACCTTTGTGGTTTCTCTAAGTTCTTCAGCTCCAGGGTTTTCTCTGTTTGTGTTTTCTTTATAGATTCTAATTCTGTTTTTATGCTTTGCACCATTTCCTTCATCTGTTTGAATGTGGATTCTTGTCTTTGTATAATGGCTCCTATTTTTTTGTTTGTTTCCTCTTTATTTTTTTTTCAAACAGATTTTTTTTAAAGATTTATTTATTTTATATGCAAGTGCTCTATCTGCATGTACACCTGCATGCCAGAAGAGGGCACCAGATCCCAGTACAGATGGTTGTGAGCCACCATGTGGGTTAGCTGGGGAATTGAACTCAGGACCTCAGGAAGAGCATGCTTCCTCCTTATAAGCCACTAATTGTATCACTACTTGGGAAGTTATATTTTTCTGTATTTTTTTAAGAGCTTTGTTCATTTCCTCTTTATTTGCTTCCACTTGGGTGGCTACTATTCTAAGAGATTTGTTCATTTCTTCTTTTTGTTCCTCTAATAACTGCATAAGCATAGCTTTAAAGTCATTTTCTTGTATTTCCGCTGAATTAAAATATCCATTGATTTTGGGGTTTGCTGGTGGAGTCATGATGTCCTGATTTTTGTTGGGTGTGTTCTTACACCGACCTCTGGCCATCTGCTTATCCATAACCTTCACTGTTTGTTCCTGGAATCTGTACTTCAGACTGGAACCATCTTTCTCTGGTGTCTGGAGTATTCTTCAGGAAGATGAGAGAGGTCGAGTGTTTTCAGAGTGCGAGTTGTTGCTTCAGCTGTACCTGAGGAAGAGCTGCTGGTGCAGAATCGCTATTGTGGGGGAATAAGCATGCGCGCGCACGCGTGAAAGTGTGTCTTAAAGGAGAGAGTGCTAAACAGTGTACGTGCTTGGGATATGGGGGTGGGAGCAAGCGCAGGAGGGGATGTGGATGTTAGCGCTGTTCACAAGTGCAGATTGCGGGCACAATACGCCTGCACAGATTTCTTGAATACCCAGTGGTCTACAGTCTGTGGCTGGCTCTGTGAGCTGAACTCTGAACTCTGTGGCTGATGTTGCAGGCAGGACCTGCACACTGTTGCGGGTTCTGTAAGCCTAGGACTGCTCTGTGCTAGAAGCTGTAGGCACAGCAGGCTGGGTTCTGCTCTCTGAGTTGGAAAGCGCTGTGGGCTTCCTCTGCCACCTCTGCCTCCGCCAAGGAGGGATGACGGAGGCCTGTCGTGAGGAAATGCCGGGGGTTTGAGTGTTCTCTGTCTCAAATCTCAAGCAGGGAGATCTGTGCTTGGAGCAGCCAGCACTGTGCTCTTTGCAAGTTGCTGCATGCACTGCAGGCTGCCTCCTCTGCCTCCACTGCCGGCTGCAGTACCTCCGCTGCTGACTCTGTCCGTTAGGGGGAAGTGTCTGGGAATTGAGTCCCCAGGAGGAGTCCACGGAGATGTCCTCGTCTGTTGACACAGGTTGACCTGTATCCTATTGGTGTCAGTTGAGGGTTTGTCCCCCTTCTCCCCAGAAGCCTCGGTGCCGTTGTTTTGGGTTCCGCTGCCCCTCCACTCACCAGTTCGGTGTTTCAGTTCCTCTGCCCCTCAAATACGGTGTGTGCTGGTTGCTGCCATCTTGGATCCCCTATCTATTTCTTCACCATTGTAATTGAATCTTAAATAATGAATTTCAATTACTGTGAACTGCTTAAATTTAAAATTCAGCTACTTAAAATAACAACTAGATTTTATGTGTTTGTTTTTTATTTCTGTTACAGTTGGAGAGCAAAACCTTGAATATTACAGGGAAGAAATGGATCAATGGTACAGTGCAAGTGGACAGTACCATTGGCAACGACACTTTCTTTGTTGTCACCTGGACAGTACAAAAGCCAAAAATTATTCTTCAAGATCCAAAAGGAAAAAAGTACATAACCTCAGATTTCAAAGATAATGAACTAAATATTCGCTCTGCTCGACTTCAAATACCAGGCATCGCAGAGGTGAGTCTAGTCTTTTCACTGTATTTTATTATTCTACCCTGTGTTTAAAGAAAGTAAAAACACATTACATTGTCAGTATTAGAACAATACAGAGTATTTTTCATTAAAAAAGTAAGTACTATATCTAAGCATTCAAATCTATATTATCTATTAGTTTCTAACAATCACATATTAAAAATTATTGAGGTCAATAATGTCTCTACTATTAACAGACTTGCTTAGCATGCATGAGGCCTGTGTTCTGTAGACAGCTCCCTATTTATTTTTCCAAGTAATTGTATATCCCAAGTATCAGGAAAATATCAGAAAAGCTCTTAAAGAGATTTCTTTTGTTTTGTTTTGTTTTCTTGAGACAGGGTTTCTCTCTGTAGCTTTGGCTGCCCTGGACTCACCTTCTAGACCTCGAATTCACAGCAATCCACCTGCCTCTGCCTCCCCAAGTTCTAGGATTACAGGCGTGCACCACCACGCCCAGCTTAAAGAGAGTTTTTCCAGACAGGTACTTGGACTTACAGCCTCTTCAATAAGGATGCCAATTCTCAGTTGCTAACGGTGACAGTGACCACTCGAGCAAGAAGTCCTACCACGCCCCCGCTAACAGCAATGGCTCACATGAGTCAAAACACAGTGCAGTACCCTAGCCCAATGATTGTATATGCACGAGTCAGCCAAGGGTTTTTGCCTGTTCTGGGGGCCAACGTCACAGCCGTTATAGAAGCTGAAGGTGGACATCAAGTCAGCCTGGAGCTCTGGGACAACGGGGCAGGTAATGGCACCTGCACTGACACGATGGCATTTAAATTCTCCTATCGGATTCTATAATTTAGAAGTCAACACTTTTTAAAAATACTTACAAATCTATCTGAGTAATAATGTCTTTCAAGTTTTGTACTTGGTTATCTTGACAAAGCAAGCGTAGACTAAAGCACATTTGTTTTGGTTAAATTCCATTATCAATTTCATATTTCCCATGGAACTTAAGAGTACACCTTTTCCCCTTTCGCTAATGTTAGCTCCGCTTTCCTTGTGTTAGAACGCTTCTTTTCTAATACCCATTGTGTGTACTCACTGGCTGCCCAGGGCAGCCCATATTCACCCTCCTACGCCACCTGCTCCCTCCCTCTTGCTCCTCTCACTTGCGCCCTTCATTGTCTTGGTCTCACTCCTGCTTTCAGATACAATTTTATTTATCTATGTAAATTCCAATATCTACAAATACGTTATTGAAGAAAATATGTAGTTCTGTCTGTATATGCTTCATTGGCTACGATACTGTCATTGCACAAAAGTTGGCTACTAATTTTTTACATTGCTTTTATATCCTGTTTCTTTGCTAAATGTCTTTGTTTATCCTGAGAAATTTTTGGATAAGTTTCTATCATGAAATAAAAGTAACTGCCAATGTTAATTGAATGTCTAAAATAAATTATATTTCCTAAAGCAACAGCATTTGCATGTAATCAAGCCAGGCTTTATATCAAAACATTATGATCTAGGGTTTAAATTGTGCTACACTTTCTGTTAAGCTCATATCATGTGTTATGTTCAGAAACAGTGTCAACGTTCCTTTTAACTTACTACGTGACTAATTACTGTGTTTCATTATCAAGGTGCTGATACTGTTAAAAATGATGGCATCTACACAAGATATTTTACAGATTATAATGGAAATGGTAGATACAGCCTAAAAGTACATGTCCAGGCAAGAAAAAACACAGCCAGACTGAGCTTAAGACAACAGAACAATGCTCTATATATACCTGGCTATGTTGAAGATGGTAAGTGGCACTAAATATATATATTTCATGCTTCCATATAAATACATATATGTGTGTATGAATTATGTATCATGTAGTATTTGTACATATCAAACACTGAAAAGAGTAACATACATGGAAAAGTCACATATAAAATTATGGAGTCATCCTTGCGATTCAAAATAATATTCATGTTAGCAGACCCAGCATAAAACACATTTCCATATATTTTGTTAACATCTCCCTCAAGTTTGTTTCACTCCCAATGAAAAATACATTTCCTGACCTTGTAGAACATGCCCTGTGGTAAAAGCTAGGGAGTTGAATGAAACACAGTCACTGTCACCACAGAACCCCCGCGAAGGTGCTGGGTTAAGCTGAGTTAAAAGATAGTGTTAACTTACCACATTTCAAAACAATACCTCTGAATATCAAAGGCAAGCTTTTCTTCCATTTCCCAATGTCTGCTATCAAGCTACATGAGCCCTGAATAGCTGTAAGGTCAGCAAAAGATACAGACTACATGAGAGTTATTGATACCTGGTGGTGTTTTTATAGGTAAAATTATACTGAATCCACCCAGATCAGGAATCCCAGAAACAGCAGCAGAAATGACTGTGGATAACTTCTGCAGAGTAGCCTCTGGAGGTTCGTTCACTGTGTTTGGAGCGCCCCCTGATGGTAACCACGCTGTTAAGCACCCACCCAATAAAGTCACAGACCTGGAGGCTGTGTTTATAGAGCATCATATTCACCTTACATGGACGGCCCCTGGCAGGGTCCTCGATAAAGGAAGAGGTAAGTTTGACAGTGAGTTTTAAAGTGTTCTAAATAAAATTGAATTGGCATTTTTCCTAAAGTTTTTCTAGTGTCTCACTATAGTGTCTACTGTAGGCCAGTATTCATTTATTTTTATAAGTAAATTTCTAAATCTGTCTGTAAGATTAAGACCCCCCCAATCTCTGCTCCCAGTCTAAGTGAGCTTGAAATTACTTTGAGAACTAACACTAACAGCTTCCTGTTACAGTCTTTGTTTCCTAAGAACAATTTTTCTTAGTTTTCCTGTACTTACAATTCTATTCATTGCTGGGAGCAATTGCATGCTGGATTGGCAAAAGGAAGCAAGAGAGCTTCCTAGAGGCCACCCACTCCCTGGCTTAGGCAAAGCCCCAATGGATTTTGCCTCAAGACTGCTAATTGGTGCTCTATTGCCTCCCGGCACTTGTCTCATCTGCCTGGCATATTGAAACTGAGCATGAATAGACTCTTATTGCCTAGAGCACAGTCTCCCTCCAAAGGTGCAGATTTCCTACAGATGGTTTTGTAATTCCTGATATTGATTCAAGTAATTTTAAAACCCTCCTTTAGTATAGCAAAAACTTCTAGGAACTCTGTGAAGCTCTGTGTGAATTACACCAAAAAGGGAAACCAGATGAAACAAATTAATAATCAAGGCAATACATTCATTCTAGGTTGAGTCCAAGGATAGGGACCAGGTGTACACCACAATAAGAAAGACTACATGAATACAGAAACAAAGAATAAATAGTTAGCTGTACGAAACAAGACAGACACCTGTTTCTTGGAAAAACCTTGACATAAAAGAAAAACTGCTTTGAACATATAATGTACATTTAAATAAAAACAGGATAAAACTTCTCCTTTAAACTCATGAGCATATAGATAAAACCACTGCTTTAAACTTATAATAAACAAAAGTATATAGTTAGATACAGTTCTAAGGAAAGAACTCAGAATCAATAGTCACTGTAAACTCCCTTTTAGCAACTGTATCTCTTTTGAATGAGTTGATTTTTTTTCTGTACATAGAGAACCTTTGTATTATGTGGTATAAAAACCCAAGACAGAATTAAAGATTTGTTGAAGGCACCTGCTTCATTCAAAAATGTGTGTCTGCCTGATTATCTATGTATGTATGTATGTATACATGTACGAAATTGTGAAGCCTGTTAAAACTTGTTTGTTGAAGCCATTGACACTTGTTTGCTTCATTCAAAGATCTGTCCATCTGTCTGATGGTCTATGTTTTCATGAATGGTCTCTGAGAGCTCTCTATATTTGTGTGAATGTATGGTTTTTCTCTTTCTTCTCGACAACCAGCAGCCCTGAAGGCATACTTTTTAAAACCCCTTTGTTTACATTTCTTTTATCTTTTTCTTCCTACTCCACCCCAATCCCTTCCAACACCCCAATATCAAGCAGGAGAGAGAAAGGGTTAGTGGGAGAGGAGGCACAGTTCTCTTAACTGCTTTTTGCTGGTTAGGGTGGTCAAGTTTCTTAAAGCCAGTCCAATCCTTGTTTCTGGAGATCTCTAACTTCTTGTCTCATAACAGCAACCAGGAATAGCAAAGGGGAAGCAGGAGCAGCCTTGTTCTTTCTCAGAGCTCCTCACTCTCTGGGCTTGGCATTTATTCTCTCTCCAGAATCCTCAGATTCAATTATCTGCAGCTGGCAAAGAGCTCCTCTCCGAACCAGCATGAGGCAAATAGTCTGATGTTGTGGACAATCTGAATCAGTCCCACATCCCATACCTGGGCCCAAAACAAAAACATGTTTATCATAACAGCAGCCCCAAATAGCAAGGCCACCAGCCTGAGAGTTTAAGAATCAAAGTATAGACAGAGAGTTTCTTGCTGTGACCAGCAGCCCCAAATAGCAAGGCTATCAGGCTAAGAGTTTAAGGGTTAAAGTATAGACAGAGAGGGTATATCTCTACACAATCAGTGGCCCCAAATAACAAGGTCACTAGCCTGAAAGATGAAGAGTTAAAATACGGCAGCCAGAGTCATCAGCTGAGAGTCAAGAGTTAAGAAAGTTCAGAGTTTCTCACCATGACCAGTGGCCCCAAATAGCCAGAAAGCTTGAGAATTAAAGAACAGAGAGAAACACTAGAAACACCAGCTCCTAGCCAGGATAGGTCTAGAGCAAAAGCCTTTGGACCCTTTTTCTCACCAACGCTGCTGTCCCCCCTCAGCCATCCCTGGACCCCAGGGATGTAGAAGCTTGTTTTTCCTAATTCGTTGATTTGTTGGGTTTTCAAACACAATCAAGTTTCCAGAGGGGTGCAGATTGACTCAAAAATTAAAGCTTTTCATCACATATCTGAAATATCTTTACATTTCCTGACAGCATAAAAATAAAGCCTTGTGGAAAGGGTGTATCTCAGTGGTAGAGTGCTTGCCTAGCATGCACAAGGCCCTGAGTTCAATTCTCAGCACCACATATAGGCATTAAATAACCAAACAAACTTATTTAAATAATTAAGTCCATAGCAAGAGAGGGCATCAGATGTTTTCCTCTCACATTTCAAAACTTAGAAGATATTTTTATATCAATGACTTTGGTAGATTGCTAAAATTAGTGTGTGAGTCAACACTCACATAGACCCCCCCTCCTTTCCTTTCCTGATTAAAAAAAAATAGTAAAGGGGGGGGACATTTCAGACAGCCATTAACACTAACTACTAAATAGTGATAACCACTTCCATATTATAATTATAGCTAAAATAGCTACTTCTAGGTACAAATATTTTTTAATTCAAACCAGAAACTTTTAAAATAGGAAATGCACCAAGTTCTGCCTTGCAATTCAAGCCAACGAATTTTCAAGGACTGTTTCTTGAGAAGTAGAGAGCAATGGAGGAAGGTGTCCAAAGCCAGTCTCTTGTGTTCATACATACACACTAAAGCTAGAATTGAGAGTCATTAAAGAATAGTAGAGGGGCTGTGGAGATGGCTCAACACTCAAGAGCACTGGTTGTTCTTCCAGAGGATCCAGGTTCAATTCTCAGCACCCACAAAGCAGCTGACAATCATCTGTTACTCCCATAGGGGACTATCTCCTGGCCTCTGTCACAGCAGACACAAACATGGTGCACAGACATACATGCAGGCAAAATAACATACACATAATAAAATAAAATATTAAAAATAAATTTAAAAAAGAATAGAGTAGAACTAAGTGCAAGTCGAGGTCAGGCTAGGTCCTGAGCCCATGCTCAATTCTGTTCATCCAACTTCTGGGTCCTCTGACTCCTCCTCAGCTGTTCTGCTCCCACCTGTCTTTCCCTGACGGCTCTCACCTTGCTCTTCTTTCAACTTATATTTTTAAAAATAGAGGATACTATGGTCTTCACTGCACATGAACATTATGTGTTCCTTGTTCTAATTTAAACCTGCGCTCTGCCCTTTCTGTCTTTCTGAAGGGAAACCTGGATTCTGGATTTCTGGTAATAGATGATGCTGAATTAAGTTTCCTGTGATTTTGAAACTGTTTTGAAATAACTGTTCACATGTTTGTCTTTAAAGTCAGTGCAGTGGGATAACCAGACACAAACTGTATCCGGGCTCTCATGCGCTAAAGCTCGCATTCGCTGCTCATACCTCTGGCACAGGCGCAGTGCAGTGGCGGAGACTGGTCCTGGCTAATGAACACGATGTCTCTCTTTTCCAGCACATAGATACATCATCAGAATGAGTCTGGATTTCCAAGATTTTAACAATCATACTTTAGTGAATACTTCTGGTCTGATACCTAAAGAGGCTGGCTCAAAAGAAACATTTAAATTCAAACCAGAAACTTTGGAAATACGAAACGGCACCAATGTCTATATTGTGCTTCTAGCTGACAATGAAGCCGGCCTCACTTCGGATATCTCCAACATTGCACAGGCTGTCAAGTTCATTCCTCCAGAACCTGATATCTCTGCAATGGGTCCTAATATTTCTGCAATCTGTCTAACAGTCTGGGGGTTAACTGTGATTTTTAACTGTATTTTAAACTAGAAAATATACTAGAACTAAAATCCAGTCTTGTATACACCCGTTAAGCACTTCTTTAGAAAGAGTTTATTAAACTCAATGTCTGCCAGTCAACAATTATAACATAGACGTTTATATTCAAAGTTGAAAATTTCCTATCTGAGCTAACTAACACCAATTCTTTTGCTATATATAAATCAAGATTAACATTTCCTCAATCGGTTTGTTAATTGTTCCATTTATTATGAAAATAAGATATCTGTTCTGTTTCACAGTGTGATGCAAATTCATTTTGTATATTAACAAAATAAAAATTCATGCAAGCCTCTTGAAAGAAATTACACATACATAATAGCAAATGACGTTATAGTTTAATTATTTGTAAGATAGTTGAACAGTTTTTGTTTACACAACTGAAATCAAAACGGACTATGGGAGTAATTTGTAAAGAAAAATGGTCAAAAGTGGTCATAAAATCAAATGTCTTTTGTCATTTTCTAAAGGTGTTTCATCAGCACTAGGCACAAAATGATGAGCAAGAAAGCTTTTGCCTATGAATTAATTGTAAGCATCACAAATGATACTCTCTTTCTGTCCTGGGACTATCATTTGATCTTAAGAGCATCACCAAGATGTACAATTAAAACAGAAATTTTTGTCACTATTGTAACCTTTGCATATAGAGCAAAACTTGGTATGTAGTAGATATTCAATGAATACTTGCTAAATAATTAATTCTTTTACACTCTCAAAGGAAAAACAAACTGGCCCAATCACACCAACAATACCCATATAATATATATGCATGTGATAATATGAGGACTTAAAGAAATAAAAATTATCTACTTTATAACATTAATCTTAAAGCACAGTTTCAGAAATTACATATACACACATAGGTGTAGAGCTGTGTGTGTGTAGATAGATAGATAGATAGATAGATAGATAGATAGATAGATAGAAATCTTCAACAAAATGTGTACTCTAATACAATGAAAATTAAGATAGTAGTGCTGCTATGGTATGCTCTTCCTGAGAAAGAAAGTTTTATTAGAGGAAAGCCTTTCTTTATAGGTAAGATTTCAAGAACTTTTTAAATATCTAAAAGGAAGAAGAGTCATGAAGTCATGAAACATCAACAAACCAAATTCAAAATAACAAGTGAAAAACAGTATTACCAAGTTGGCTTCATGCCAGTAATCCAAAGATGAGCTAATATAAAATAACAACTGTATGTAACCACATTAATAACTGAAAAAATGTATCAAGTTTTGACGAAAAGAGAAGGAATGGGAATTTCTGATAGAGGCAGTGGTTTTATTTGGTAACTATAAAAACATGCACACTGCTTACAGGGATATGTGTGTGTGTGTGTGTGTGTGCATACTGTGTGCGTGTGCATGTGTCTGTGCACATGCGAGTGTGTCTGTGTAAACTCAGTTATGTTTTTTGTTTTAATCCCAAGTGCGGGATTTTAGTGTAGGCTTTAGTCTGTAAGCAGCTGATAAATGTCTCACGCTGGGTGTGGTCTTTGCCAGCTGGTAACCGCCTGCCTCCTGTAGCATGGAGAGGGGTGTGGTGTAGGACTCTGAGAGATATAAATATGAGAGCCCAGAGAGAGAAGGTGTGGCAGACAGTGTGGCATATGGTGAGTGGCAGTTTAGAGAGACCAGAAAAGTGGACAGTGTGGCGAGAAACACTTCTGGTGCAGCAGCTTGGAGGAGACTGCCTGCCGCACTGCTGTTAATGGAGAGCTGGCATTGCCCCAAAAGAACCCATGGACCCTAAACAGCCAGGAGAAATAAAGAAGTAAAGAGAGGGTCTGCGGCCCCTCTCCCCACTAACCTTCTCTCTCCTACCTAGGCTTGGGGGGTTGAAAGAGAGAGGCTTTAAGGAACCGCAAATAAAAAAGAGTTTAAAAATGAGTACAACATAATCCCAATACTCAAGAGGCTGAGGCAGGAGGATCACAAGATTGAGACCAGTGTGGGCTACATGGCAAAACATCATTTCAAAACACCTAAGAAACAAACTGTGGACTGGTTTTAAGAATTAGAACCGGAACCTCGTGGGATGCCTCTGCAGCTAAAAGCATGGGAAGCCTTTCCAGAGGACCAAGTTCACTTTGCAGCACCCACTGGAGGCTCCTAGCCATAGGTAACTCCAGCCCTAGGGAATACAGCACTCTCTTTTCACTGCTGTAGGTACATGTGATCCACAGACATTCATGAAGGCAAAGCATCAATGCACGTGACATTTTAAAATTAAGAATTAAAACCAAAAAAGCTCTAAATATTCAGAAGGAACTCAACAAGATGTGAGACATTCATTGATTGACTCTTACACTGACCTGGTTACTTTCTGTGGCTAAACACTGACTAAAACCAATTCAGAGGGAAGAATGGGTTATTTGGCTGACACATCCCTGTCCCAGTCTCTCACTGAAAGAGCCGGGGCTGGAACCATGAAGAAAAGCTACTTACTGGTTTGCTCATTCTGACATGCTCCACTATACAATCCAGAACCACCTGCCTATGAGTGAGAGCTCCCGCAGTGGACTGGGCCCTCCCACATTTATCATCAGTCAAGAAAATGCCTGCAAAGACAGGCCCAAAGGCCAATCTGATGGGGGCAATTCTTCAGTTGAGGCCTCCTTTCCCAGGGAACACTAGTTTGTATCAAGTTGACAATAAACAAAACAAAAGCAAACAAACAAACAAACAAAAAGCTTACCAGCAAGTATAAAACTGAAGGAACTGCATTAAACATATTTCAAACATATAATTCTGAGTAAGGAAAACTGCAAAAAGACAGGTAAGGTGTTATATAATGTATACAAATGCTTCTATATTTGTGATATAAGTAGGCAAGAAATACACTAAACTTCATGAAGATACTTTGGATGGGGACAAGAAGGTAATTTAAGCTAATGGTATTGAATTAAAGATGTATTTTATTTTTAAACTATGTGAGTGAGGGATGGGGTTATATAAATTAGAGTTCAGGTGTCATCAAAGGCCAGAGGGGGATGTCTGATCCCTTGAAGCTGGACTTGCAGGAGACTGGAAATCACCTGATGGGGGAGCTGAGATCTGAAGTCTGGTCCTCTGTAAGAACAGCAAATGCTTTTAACTGCTGAGCCATCTCTCCAGCCCATGATGGGATTGGTTTTGTTTTCTTCACTTAAACAATAATGTTTTAACTCTAGATGTTGGTTGAGTGCAAAATAAGTTATTGTAATTCTTAGCTTTTCAATGAAAGCATAGTTGTTCGTTTTTAAAAATTAAACATTAGTCTTTATATGTAAACTGTCTATTGATACATTCAGACATACATGGACCCAAACTTTGGGTCATTGACCATGACTCAAACAGCAGAGATTTTAAACCATGTTAATTGTGCTTTGCTCTCAGATTCATTGAACCATAAATGGCCACTACACTAAGTAGCACACATTTTCTTGTTTAACCTTCATCTCATCATCACAGGGCAGATGTTATGATGTATTTCCACTTTATTAATAAAAGAACTAAAGTTCAGGGATATGAAGTGACTTGCCCATGATCAGACTATGGCTACAAATGGTGTTGCTGACAACAGAGGTCTGTCTAATTACAAACATTATGCTCATTCCATGACCATCCTAATCCATTCCACAAGTCAACATCATCACCTACCTGACATCAGCAAAATCCTCAGTATTAACAAGTCTCTCATTATTAAGACATTCTTAGTTTTTAGAAATGTGTTTATTTTTATAAATAACCACAAATAATTAATTGGTTAAAGTTTTTAAAGAATAGTTATTTAACATCTTTAAAATCTAGTTTTCAAAATAAATTATCTCACTCAGAATATTTTATAGAGATGTATTCTGTGTGTGTATGTGTGCACATGTGTGTTTGTCTACAAGTGAATAAAAGTTAGAGGTCATCTTACAGAAACTGGTTCTTTCCTTCTACCCATGTGGGTCTTAGGAATCGAAGTCAGGTCATCAGGCACGGCAGCAAGTACCCTTACCCACTGAGCCATCCTTTGAGATGCTTTTATTTACTGCCATAATTTGAGGATACAACATTAAAATACTAGTAAGGTATCTGGCTTGTATTTGGCACTCAATGAAATGTTAATAGCGTTTATGTCTCTTAGATATTTTACAGTTGACAAAGTTCAAGGCTTAATGAAAAAACTAAAAAGAGAATTCTAACTTTCATACTCAATATATAACCACAAAACATCTACAACCTCAGTTTCAAAGTTATTGAAAAAGCATTCTCTCTTTATTAAACTAACATAAAAACATACTATAGCTTAAATGCAATTTTACTCAACACTTTAATTGTATAGCGATTAACTTTTTAGGCTACTCTGACATCTAGTGGAATAATTATAGCCATTCAAAATATATAAAATACATGCTTTCATTACTCTAACAACTAATAGCTGTTATAAGTTTCGATTAATATTTACAATTGGTTTATCTTTTATTAACGCTGCTGTTAATCCTAAACAGCTGTATACCCAAAACACCACACAAAGACTGGCATTTATTTAATTAACCTAGAACACAATGCTGGGTAATAGTTGTTCCATCCTAAACCTCCAAACCCTCATAGTTTCCTAACATTTAGATTTCCCACATTATACTTGCTTTTAATGAAATCTTAGGTCTGGTTCATTGTCCACGTCGCTCCAAGATCTCTGCTCCTGCCTCTGTTCTCCCAGCTCTCATCCCTTCTCCCTCTTCTGCCTCCCCACCTTTCTGTCCTCCCTCTCTTCCTGCTTCCTTTCCTTTGTTCAACATTGTGGTTAGTTGCTTTATTTTGGCATGTTTACACAAAGTTGAGACAGGTGATGAGATGCTTAGAATAAACAGCACAATGCAATGTCCGGATTGAAACCAGAAGTGGGGGAGAGAAATCAGCATTTGAATGAACAAGGGTAAAGTATATACATTCCAAAAGAACATTATACCAACAAATAGCATTCTAAAAGGCAAATCATGTAATGACTAATAGTTGTTT